CCCAAGGGCTGTAGGGTGGGGCTCAAAGGAGTCAGTGTGCTAAAATTTCTTCATTTTCCTTGTTAAGAATCAGAGGTGCTAGTTTCAAATCCTTTTTAGTCTGAAATCTGTATGCTAGATATTGAGTAAGGTGGTTTTATTGTTTTTTGTCACTTTGAATAATATTTCTGTTCATGTTAAAAACAAAATCAACTCTCTGTATAAATATATCAGGTGACCGTTAAGGCCCATGGGCCTCTTGTATTATATTAAGTCTTCCTCCTGTCAAATCGTATTTGTACAATGTCTGTTTTCTTACAGTTATGATACAGTACAGTGTATTGCTTACAGTCATGATACAGTACAGTGTATTGCTTACATTTATGATACAGTACAGTGTATTGCTTACAGTTATGATACTGTACAGTGTATTGCTTACAGTTATGATACAGTACAGTGTATTGCTTACAGTTACGATACATTACAGTGTATTGCTTACAGTTATGATACAGTACAGTGTATTGCTTACAGTTATGATACAGTACAGTGTATTAATTGCTTACAGTTATGATACAGTACAGTGTATTGTTAGCTCACCTGGTCCAAAGGGCCAAGGTGAGCTTATGCCATACCGTGGCGTCCGTCGTCCGTCCGTCGTCCGTCCGTCTGTACGTCAACAATTTCTTTAAACGACTTCTTCTTCTTAACCACTGGTTGGAATTAAACTAAATTTGACTGGAAGCATCCCTAGGTGGTGGGGATTCAAAATTGTACAAATGGTGGGGCTGACCCCCCAGGGGGCTGAGGGGCGGGGCCAAAAGGGGTCAATTTGCCAATATTACTTTAAGCGACTTCTTCTCTGAAACTAAGAAGTGGATATCAACCATATTTGACTGGAAGCATCCCTAGGTGGTGGTGATTAAAAATTGTACAAATGGTGGGGCTGACTCCCCAGGGGGCTTAGGGGCGGGGCCAAAAGGGGGCAATTTGGCTATATTGCTACAAACGACTTCTTCTGTAGAACTGTGCACTGGATATCAATCATATTTGATCAAAAGCATTCCTGGGAGGCAGGGATTTAAAATTGTACAAATGGTGTGGCTGACCCCCCAGGGGGCTGAGGGGCAGGGCCAAAAAGGGTATTTGGCTATACTGCTTTAAGTGACTTCTTCTCTGGAACTAAGTGATGGATATCAACCTTATTTGACTGGAAGCATCTCTAGGTGGTGGAGATTCAAAATTGTACAAACGGTTGGGCTGACCCCCCAGGGGGCTGAGGGGCGGGGCCAAAAGGGGGCAATTTGGTTATATTGCTATAAATGACTTCTTCTGCAGAACTATGCCATGGATATTGATCATATTTGGTCGGAAGTATTCATGGGAGGCAGGGATTCAAAATTGTACAAATGGTGGGGCTGACCCCCCGGGCTAAGGGGTGGGGCCAATAAAATGTATTACTTGGAAATGGTTGAGATCCCCACCATATAACCATATATACAATTGCTGAGTATAAAGAGAAGAATGCACATTTGCTTCCAGGATGTCCCTAGGGTCTGGCCCCACCCTTGGAGACATAGTCCCTGGGCCATAACTTTAAAACGGTTGAGATCCCCACCCCAAAACTATATATACAAATGCTGGGCATAAAGAGACGAATGCAATCATGATATCAGAATAGACCCTGGGGTCTGACCGAACCCCTAGGGACCTAGTTTCTTAGTCACAGCTTGGAAACAGTTGAGAGCCCCACCCTATAACCGTATATATACAATTGCTGAGTATAAAGAGATGATTGCACATATGCTTCCAGGTTGGCCTTGGGGACTGCCCCACCCTTGGAGACTTAACCCCTGGGTCATAACTTTGAAATGGTTAATATCCCCACCCCAAAACTATATATACAATTGTTGGGCATAAAGAGACGAATGCACTCATGACATTAGAATTGATCCCAGGGTCTGCCCCACCCTTGCAGACTTGGCCCCTGGGTCATAACTTTGAAACGGTTGAGATCCCCACCCCAAAACTATATATACAAATGCTTGGCAAAAAGAGACAAATGCAGTCACGATATTAGAATTGATCCTGGGGTCTGGCCACAACTCTAGGGACCTAGTTTCTGAGTCAAAGCTTGGAAACAGTTGAGATCCCCACCCCATAACCATACATAAAATTTCTGGGCATGAAAAATCTAATATACATATATGTAGCTATGCTACAAGGATTGGCCTTAGGGTCTGGCATATTCCCTTGATCTCATTTGGAGAATAGTTTGCCATGATTGCTTAGGTATCCAGGTGAGCAATACAGGCCCTCTGGGCCTATTGTTTACAGTTATGATACAGTACAGTGTATTGCTTACAGTTATGATACAGTACAGTGTATTGCTTACAGTTATGATACAGTACAGTGTATTGTTTACAGTTATGATACAGTACAGTGTATTGCTTACAGTTATGATACAGTACAGTGTATTGCTTACAGTTATGATACAGTACAGTGTATTGTTTACAGTTATGATACAGTACAGTGTATTGCTTACAGTTATGATACAGTACAGTGTATTGCTTACAGTTATGATACAGTACAGTGTATTGTTTACAGTTATGATACAGTACAGTGTATTGCTTACAGTTATGATACAGTACAGTGTATTGTTTACAGTTACGATACAGTACAGTGTATTGCTTACAGTTATGATACAGTACAGTGTATTGCTTACAGTTATGATACAGTACAGTGTATTGTTTACAGTTATGATACAGTACAGTGTATTGTTTACAGTTATGATACAGTACAGTGTATTGCTTTCTACCAGACATTCTGGACTTTGACTACACATAGTTGTTTATTTCATGCAATTCATGTATGTTTCAACGTATATATATCCTTAACGTATTTTGAAGTTGATGGATGTGGACGGAACAACGGTGGATGCAGCCACTTTTGCTTTAGTCAGGGAAGTGAAGTAACCTGTAAGTGTTCCGACGGATTCATTCTCGAGGAAGATGGACATGCATGTCAAGGTTAGTGGATATATATTGTTCTAGGGGAAATAATCTAGCTTCATTCTACAGTGAAATGATCACTCTATGTCAAGTTTAGGTGCTTTCCTATTACCTGGCCTTTTAGATTACCAGTTTATAACTATCATTTGTCCATAGCTACTACCTGTGTATAAATACCACCTGTCTATAACTACCACCTGTCCATAGCTACTACCTGTGTAGAAATTCAACCTGTCTATAACTACCACCTGTCCATAGCTACTACCTGTGTGGAAATACCACCTGTCTATAACTACCACCTGTCCATAGCTACTACCTGTGTAGAAATTCAACCTGTCTATAACTACCACCTGTCCATAGCTACCACCTGTGTAGAAATACCACCTGTCTGTAACTATCATCTATCCATAATTACTACATGTGTAGAAATACCACCCATCTAGCTACAGCCTGTCTTTAAGTACCTCATATCTACAACTACTATCTCCCTATGAAAATTCACCTGTATTTACCTACAACTTGTTTATAACTACCATCTGTTAAATAGCTAAACCTAGCTATTACTACTGTCAGATTTTATATTTACCCAGTTGATTATTTTTCTCTATTGTTCTATTGGCAACCTGGTTATAAAGACCATCGGTCTATCAAAAAGTTTTAAGCTTCCACTAATGGGTTGAGAAAATGACTACATGGCTGTGTTGTGTTTTCAGCTGTTCTTGACTCTAAATGTGTGTTCCGCTGTCATGATGGTCATTGTATAACTGACCGCTCCTACCTGTGTGACGGGCAGCCTGACTGTACTGATGGGGAGGAAGAAGATCCAAGTCTATGTGATCAAACAACATCTCCAACTCCAAAGTCTCTCACAGGTGAGATCATGGGTCATTAGTTCACTAAGGGTAGGGAATCTCCCTCATTTATAGGTCACATGTAAATGGTCCGAGGTAAGGATATCCCCACAGATATAAGTAACAGGTCATTGGTTCACTAAGGGTAGGGAATCTCCCACATTTATAGGTCACATGTAAATGGTCCGAGGTAAGGATATCCCCACAGATATAAGTAACAGGTCATTGGTTCACTAAGGGTAGGGAATCTCCCCACAGTTATAGGTCACCTGTTAATGGTCCTAGGTAAGGATATCCCCACAGCTATAAGTAACAGGTCATTGGTTCACAAAGGGTAGGGAATCTCCCTCATTTATAGGTCACATGTTAATGGTCCTAGGTAAGGATATCCCCACAGCTATAAGTAACAGGTCATTGGTTCACAAAGGGTAGGGAATCTCTCCACAGTTATAGGTCAATTGTTAATGGTCCTAGGTAAGGATATCCCCACAGATATAAATAACAGTTCATTGGTTCACAAAGGGTAGGGAATCTCCCCACAGTTATAGGTCACCTGTTAATGGTCCTAGGTAAGGATATCCCCACAGATATAAGTAACAGGTCATTGGTTCACTAAGGGTAGGGAATCTTCCCACAGCTATAGGTCACATGTAAATGGTCCGAGGTAAGGATATCCCCACAGACATGGGTAACAGGTAAATTGTTCCTCTAGGATAGGGGTTCCCCCTCCCTAAGCATAAGTAACAGGGTATTGGCTGGCCGTAACAACTAACAACTTCCCACAGCTCTGTGGTCATAGATGGATGGTCCCTTCAAGGACAGCTAGGATTTCTTTTCAATGTTGGGAGGGCATTTCTCCTCTGTTGTCCATTGTCTGTCCTACAGTGTTCGATCAAATCAGACTTGTCAAAATACTTAACTTTGGTCATAATAGGACTATAGGAATGCTGCAGCCATAGAAATGTACAGGGATCAGTTGGGGTGGAGGTAAATTTTGGTTTCAAACTTTTAACAGTGTGTATAGGTATCATTTTCAGAGGTTATACAAAATTACACCAACACAACAAGTTGTGCTAGAAAATGAAAGTAAACCACTCAGTAGGATTAGTCATGTCTACAGTACAACATATACCTTTACGTAACACAGAATCTCATCAGGAAACCAAGTATGACAAATAAATCTTCAAATGATCACACAGCTAAGACCAGTGCTATTTAATATCCATGCATCTAGCACTGGAAAAAAACCCACCCCTGTTCCTTAATTAAGACAGGTCTCCTTGTGAGTAAAACTTTGGGTGTATTGTCACTATTTCTGAGTGAAATATTGGCATTATAAAGGGGTTTGACAATGCATCATGAGAAACAACTAAAAGATATTTGTTAAGGTAAAAGGACCACTAAATTTGTCAGCAGTTAGTCGGGATGTAAATGAAACAAATGTTATTATACTGAGGTTTTACTGTTCCTTGATTTTGACTGGTATTCATATTCAATTTAATGGCAGTTTCACCATATCTTAACTTTAGTAAAAGCTAATTTTGGTCGAAAAAGTTCTAAAACAGTCTACATGTATATCTTCAAGGTGCTGCCTGTCAACAACCAAACCAGTGTCACCACATCTGTAGAGAAACGCCCAAGGGACCCAGATGTGACTGTCGTCGAGGATACCAGCTGTCAGATGACCAAAAAGGATGCAGGGATGTGGATGAGTGTGAAAATAACAACGGTGGCTGTAGTCAGCTGTGTGACAACAAAGATGGCAGCCATTCCTGTAGCTGTGTCCATGGTTACACCAAGAATGGATCCCTGTGCCATGCCCAAGGTGAATGAATGCAAAGAATATGACCAACGAATATTCAAATGAGCGATAGATATTATTCAATATTCAAAACATCAATGGAAAGGAGCAATGAATAGTTGATAAGGTGGATATTAGCCACAAACATTCAAAAAACTAAATTTATATAACCATATTAATTGAAGTATTTCACAATGACAGAGCCACACCCCTATTTAGTGATTGGTGGAACTGGTGGCATTGACAAGGTTAACGACCAAGGTCAGATAGAGGAGCTCATGATTGGTGAAGCCAGTGGGTTTGTCACAGCCTTGGATGTTGTCATGGAGACTGGAGACATTATATTTGTAACATCTGTACAGGTCAGTACTGGCAAATACCATTGTTTTACAGTGAGCTTTATCAACTGATGTCAAAATAAATAAGGCCTTCACAGTGTCTGTCCGTCTGTCTGTCGTTCCACACTTTTGTTTCTGGAGATTATCTCCAAAACGTAAAGACGAATCTTTCTGAAATTTGACATGGTGATATACTGTGAAATGTAGATTTGCAATAGGAGTTTAAAAAGATTTAAGGTCTAGGTCTGAGATACTATCCCCTTATCAGATATGGCTGACATCTGCTATGGAGGCTTTGCCTCAATCATCTGATTACTTTTTTCATCAGTTTACAGTCAGTAGTCCATAAAAATGTATTTTGATATCAGCTTCACTCCTTCAATTGTTTTTAGGGGCTGACTAGTCATTTAACTGATATACAATATTTGTAAGCACCTGAAGGAATATTGTAGAAACCCATTTTTTTCACCATTCAGGAAGCACTTTTCCTTTACAAGAGGACTGAAAAAAATGTGACACGCTTGACCACACTTGGCAGTAAAGTGACCGATCTGTCATATGACTGGATTGGCCGTAATGTATACTACACGGATGGTCAACATGGCACTCTAGGTGTGTGCAGTCTCCAGTCCCTGCCCATCCTCTGTCGCACCCTACGATATGAACCGGTCAATTCCATCGCCCTCCATCCGGTAATCGGGTATGTATATTTATATAGTATGATGTATTTGTAGGAGGGTGAAGGTTCAATGTCAAGGTCACCTGGACTAACATATGATAGGTAATTATATAGGCCATTATGAAAAGCTCTGCAATGTTGAATTTTAAGGTCACAATTCAAAGAGGTAAATCGGATTTAAAGACCACATGACTATAACTTCTGTCAGTTTGATTCCTTTCTTGTTGGATGGTCTTTATGGACAGAGTAAATTATGATTTCACAAAATACAGTTAAAGCGTATATCAACAGATCACACAGGACCTAAGAAAGCAATTGGCTGTAGGTATAGTTGGTAACACAGATGTTCTCGAGACCAACTGCTGTTCCATGTCAGCGAACACAAATTGATCTGATAATAAGCCATAAGTTTATTTCATTGTCTCAATGAACCTGTTTGACTGTATACATCTGTATAACCTGTTTGACTGTATACATCTGTATAACATGTTTGACTGTATACATCTGTATAACCTGTTTGCTCTGTATACATCTGTATAACCTGTTTGACTTTATACATCTGTATAACCTGTTTGATCTGTAAACATCTGTATACCCTGTTTGACTGTATACATCTGTATAACCTAAATGATCTGTATACATCTGTATAACCTGTTTGATCTGTAAACATCTGTATAACCTGTTTGATCTGTATACATCTGTTTAACCTGTTTGACTGTATACATCTGTATATCCTGTTTGACTGTATACATCTGTATAACCTGTTGGATCTGTATACAGATGTATAACCTGTTTGACTGTATACAGATGTATAACCTGTTTGATCTGTAAACATATGTATAACCTGTTTGATCTGTATACATCTGTACAACCTGTTTGATCTGTATACATCTGTATAACCTGTTTTATCTGAATACATCTGTATAACCTGTTTGACTGTATACATCTGTAGAACCTGTTTGACTGCATACATCTGTATAACCTGTTTGATCTGTAAACATCTGTATAACCTGTTTGATCTGTATAGCCAATTTGACTGTATACATCTGTATAACCTGTTGGATCTGTATACAGATGTATAACCTGTTTGACTGTATACATCTGTAGAACCTGTTTGACTGCATACATCTGTATAACCTGTTTGATCTGTATGACCTGTTTGACTGTATACATCTGTATAACCCGTTTGATCTGTATAACCTGTTTGACTGTATACATCGGTATAACCTGTTTGATCTGTATACATCTGTACAACCTGTTTGATCTGTATACATCTGTATACCCTGTTTGACTGTATTCATCTGTATAACCTGTTTGACTGTATACATCGGTATAACCTGTTTGATCTGTATACATCTGTACAACCTGTTTGATCTGTATACATCTGTATACCCTGTTTGACTGTATTCATCTGTATAACCTGTTTGACTGTATACATCTGAATAACCTGTTTGACTGTATACATCTGTATATCCTGTTTGACTGTATACATCTGTATAACCCGTTTGATCTGTATAACCTGTTTGACTGTATACATCGGTATAACCTGTTTGATCTGTATACATCTGTTTAACCTGTTTGACTGTATACATCTGTATATCCTGTTTGACTGTATACATCTGTATAACCCGTTTGATCTGTATAACCTGTTTGACTGTATACATCTGAATAACCTGTTTGACTGTATACATCTGTATATCCTGTTTGACTGTATACATCTGTATAACCTAAATGATCTGTATACATCTGTATAACCTGTTTGATCTCTATAACCTGTTTGACTGTATACATCTGTATAACTTGTTTGACTGTATACATCTGTATAACCTGTTTTATCTGAATACATCTGTATAACCTGTTTGACTGTATTCATCTGTATAACCTGTTTGACTGTATACATCTGTATAACCTGTTTGATCTGTATAACAGCTGGATGCTGTGGACCAGCACTAGAGATGGGACCATTATGAGGATGGGGATGGACGGTAGGAATCTGACTGTTTTGGTGGAGGCCACAGTAGGTCAGTCTGTCCTTGCACTGACCATCGATTATGCCAATGACCGCATTTACTGGATCAGTTCCCCGGCCAATCAGGTGTGGTCCAGTGATATGGATGGCAAAAGGAGGTAAAATTTAAGTTTGATACAAAGGAAAAAGAAAAAAAAACCATTCAAACTGATTCAGATCTGTAAATACACGTCTTTACAGAAGTAAGTAACATAAAAAATATTAAAGTTCCACAGTTTGTGATAGTTTCTCACAAAAATTGTAAAAAAATTGAAATTTTAGATTAGCTGACATGGAGGAAGAAAAACATTTTAACTTGTGGAATTTCTATTACTATTTTCAACCACAATTTCAGGTGATTGACTGATTTGTTTGCTTTACAAACGATGATGTAGGTGTTTGTTTGAGGTAATGAGTTAACTGATTGGTATGTAAAAATCACACAGCTATAAGTAGACAGATCTAAGCTACCCATTTGTGTATTGTTTGCTTTTAATCAATTCTGAACGTTCTCAAACCCAAATAATGTTAACATATATTGTTCTTATCTGTCATATGCTATTGTATTTGATGATGAATTGAAGATTTCTAAAAGATATTAGTTTTAATTTCAGGCAAAATGTACTGAATGGGGTAAATGTTCGTCATTTCTCCAGTGTATCGGTGTTTGAGAATACTCTGTATCTGATGGACAAGAGGTCAAAGGTTGTGTACCTGTATAGCAAACCCGGTGGTCAACAGACTGGTGTCATCCAGCTACTATCCACTCCCAGTTGTCTGAGAATAGTCCACCCCTTCCAACAGGCACATCAAAGTATGTAAAACGACTTTACGACTGAAGGAAATTCAGTAGAATCAACAAAGAACAAAAGTGCTTTGGACTTCACCTGAACACCTGCATGTCCATATTTGTTCTTAACTCATTCACCCCTGAAATTTCATAATGAACTTTTCCAACCTTTGAATTGGAAGAGTTCAAATGTGACTTCATGGGTGAAGTAGCTAAGCTAGCTGATACTAACATTATAGAATTGTTCGTATATTTGTCATGTCTCCTGTAACTTCTGATTATAATGGATATAAATGCAGTTGAGTCGGTAAACATTTCCGTATGATAAATAACCTTGACATGATTTCATTGACCATGTAGTGTTTTAATTACGATGTCTTGTAACAATGCTATGCACTGGCATCTTCAAATGTGACATCATGATCATGATTCAAAGAAGTACGTGTCTTCCCTGTCAGAAAAAGGAAAATTTCGATTTTCAAAAGATTTTTATGGTTTTCCAGACATCATTCAAACTTTATAGGAGAAAAAGGTTCCAAACTTGTGTTGATATCATCATGCTTATCCGTCAATATTTGTTGTAATATTCAAATAAATTTGATAACCGTCATGTTAATAAATTTAAAGAGAGCATAACAGTGACGTTTTCGTTGACAACATAGAACATGAATGTACAATTTATGTTTCCAGTGACTGACGTATGTAGAGCCAGGCGCTGTTCTCACTTGTGTTTGGTTACTCCCAGGGGAGCTAACTGTTACTGTCCCGATGGCTTCCAGTTCCTACCAGGCTCTGTCAAAGCATGTAAAGGTAGACCTTTGAAATGTTGTGTTGTAACTGCCACCTCATCTCTCGAATTCTGTTATTAATAAAGAGCTTTTAATATCTGTTTTGTGTCTTTGAGGTGTACATGTTCTCATGTAAAGGTTGTGAGGTAATTTTGTATTTAAAAGAGTATTTCTGTGATCTGTTTTAGCTTGATATTTGCAATATGTATTTATGTATTTTGAAAGCTTTCATCGACGTTGAAATGGTATATATATATAGGGAAAGTTATCTGTGTATTGTTGCCTATTCATTTAAAACAAATGATGTTTTAGATGGAAAAACCAGTGTAATGACTGTCACAGAACCAATGATGTCTACTCCTAAACCAGCAACTGAAACCCTGCAGATTGAGTCGCCATACAGAATCAAGACCACTCCTAAACCAACTCCTGAAAACCCCACGCTGGAGCCACCATACCAAGTGAAAACAATTTCCAGATCTGAAAACTCCTTGACGGATTCACCATACAAAGTGAAGACAACTCCTCGATCATCAACTGAAAACCCCCAGAGGGAGCCACCATACAAAGTGATGTCATCTCCCAGACTAACAACTGATAATCCTACGTCATCCACTCCTAGGTCGGTGAATCTCAATCTTCCCAAAGTGGCTCCACCTGCCAAAGTGCACCTTGGGATACAACATGTGGAATACCATCACAGCAACGAGGAAAACCTTTGTGAAAAGAAATGTGAAAATGGTGGAAAGTGTGTGATAGCTGAAGATAACCAAGTGCAATATTGTAGGTAGGTATATATAAAAAAAAAAGGTTCATACATGCAAACAACAGTTTGGACAGGTCTTCAGGTTATGTAGAGATGGAATTTTCTTTAATATTTTGTAACAGTTTGCTGTTGATGCAAGTAAAATGTATGTCTTGTTTAGTTGTGTAGGAGGATATAGCGGTGCCACCTGTGGTGATGTGGATGCTGCAGTCCAGGGGGAGACAACTGCAGATGATACTCGGTCAATAATCATTGGTGTGACTTCAGCAGTTGCAGTTGCCATCATTGCTGTCGTCATCATTTCAGTTGTATGTTGGATCAAACACCGGTTAGTTAGACGGTATAATGCCTCGACTTGTACATGTAAAATCCCAGCGTAAACTGGTCTATAGTTGATAATCAGGTGTCTCAGAAGTCTTGTGAACCAATGATATGAAGTTTGTTGACTTCTAGGAAAACTTTAATCCCAGGTCCATACTGTAACTTCCAACTGACACCATCTTTGTAAATACTTCTTCATGAATGTTGGTATCATGAATAGATGGTGCTACCTGAACACTGCCGGGTCTGTATCCTAAAGGTTAAGATCATGACAAGGGGTCAAAGTTCAAATGGTTGCCCAAAATATAATAACATTCCTTGTTACACTGTCAGGTCAAATACCCTAAAGGCAAGGGGTAAAACTTGGTGAGCCTTTGCTTTCCTGAGTGTACTCTAGATTATACCTAAGGCTTAGCTAGCTTACCTTAGGGAAACCTAGATACCTTAGTGAGTCCTAGCCTATCTTAGGGATCCCAAGACTACCGTCGACTTAGCTTACTTTAATGAGTCCCAGCCTATCTTAGAGATCCCAAGACTACCGTCGACTTAGCTTACCTTAGTGAGTCCTCGCCTATCTTAGGGATCCCAAGACTACCGTCGACTTGGCTTACCTTAATGAGTCGTAGCCTATCCTATAGGTATCCCAAGACTACGGTCGACTTAGCTTACCTTAATGAGTCCTAGCCTATCTCAGTGAGACTTAGATAACTTTGTGAGACCTAGACTACATTAGTGAGACTAGGACTAATCAAAACCTGTCTAAACCAAACCCTATATAAACAAGAATCCTGTCTCAACAAAACCTTAAACCTATGGTAACACAGTTTTCTTTGTAAAGATAGGATCAGCGAAGTTGATGCAACTTGTTGTAGCAACTTTATGTATTTCATTACAATCGTTATGTTCAAATGAAGTAAATAAAACCTTTGTTATGTTAACTTGTATAATCTGAACAAATATTTCCAGTTCTGTTTGTTTTAGACAGGTTTTATTGTATAAATGAAGCGACCTCCTGTGTAGTTAAATTCAGTGATACAATGCCTCTCAATTAATTTGCCAACTCCTTTACAGCCAACATTTCCTTTAAGGTTCCTTTACATCCACCTCTATTTATCCCAAAACCCCTTTCTAACGCCAACATTTTTCTTGAGAAATAGTTGCAATATAAAGAGTATTGACTGTATATACAGGTCTGGCAGATCATTCCCCGACTACATGCCTTGTGTTGCTCGTACCAGCAAAATCTTCACTGCCAAGGAAGATGCAGAGGGCCTAGTTTCCGATTCTTCTTCTGCATTTGGTGATCTCCGATTTGATAGCGATGTTACATTCCGTGAATTTGATACTGTAAGTATGATGAAGTTTGTTTTGTTTGATTTTCACAAAGTTGATAATTGTGTTACAGAGGCATGGTACTAATGTTCTTTTTTAAAAGTTAATATGTGTGAATCTGTTATGATAATTGTAGGTTAGTTACCAGACTACTTCCTCTTCCACTGATCCCGCCCGCTGTGGACCTAACAACTCAAGTACTGCGCACAAAGACCAGGTGTTCAACCCCCAGGACATCTATTACTGCCCATCTAACCAGTCATTTGGGTCAGCCTTCTGTCGCCAGGAGGAAAGTCAGGACAGGTCAAGTTCTGGCGCTTCCTCTGCCAGCAGTATGTGACGATCTCTAACCTCTAACCTCTTGACATATGACCTCATTTGGATCTGACCTCAGTTGTAGGGAGGCAGAACAGGAGAGGTCCAATTTGGTGATATCTTTACCTCTGACCCCTGACCTCAGTTATGAATGCTGATTATAATTGACATTGACCTTGAACAAACATGTCTGCTTACCTATCACACAGTGATAGATGAAACATTGGTCCTGATGGTCAAAATCTGATTGGCTAAACACATTGTTAATGCAATTGTTTTTGTGGGTTTTTTCTACAATCACCCAAGCTGAAATCTCTACATGTTATTTGACTAGTGACTTTCACATTATTTTGTAAATATGCCAGATTAATATTTTACATTAACTTATTGTTGAGCTAATCAGGCACTGATCAGCAACAGGTCCAATCTCATGTAGGTGACTATCCCAGGAGTGACAAAGTGTTATATAATCAGGTCAAGGTCAAACCGTTACTTCCTGAGCTTCCTCATTGGCAACAATGGAATCCTGCCTGTCTGTTATTATAACCAGAAGAGACTCGTGTAATGATCATATTTGTTTATGAATTTGTTTCTGTGATGTCATTTCTTGTTAAATTGTGAATGTGTCCCTACATCAAACAATCATGTTTCTGTTAAATTTATACAGCTATGATAAAAAGCCTACTTGAAGAAATATATAGACATTACCTTGCATTTAACAGATTTGTGTATTAAAAGTTATCTCCCTTGAATAATCTTTAACAAGCAATGATAGCAAAGTATAGATCCATTAACATGTATATTACAGACAACTCTATAATGTTGTTTAAATTATTTTTAGCTTCTCCGGCCTAAAGCTGTGGTGAGCTTATGGTTTTATTGGTGAGCTTATGATTTTGTGTCCACTGTTGCCATTTGGCACTAACGATCAACTTTTCCAAATTTGATTCACAAAGACTAGGGTAATGACACTTGGCATCTAGCTGGCTGAAATGGAGTGCTATAAAGCTTGTTAAACTGAATTACGATAACCCAATTCAAACAACTTCTAAAATCGTCATGCCGAGAGTACTGATACATTTGGCATGTAGTGAGGCTTGTATGGATATAGTGTCTGCCTTGTTCAAATGAATGACCTTGGTCAAAATATGTCGCATGTTTTAAAAAGTTCAATTGACTTATTAAGAACCTTTAAGCCTAGAGTCATAGTATTCAGTCTCTAACATAACATAGCTTGGATAAAGTCGGACTGAAAAATATTAAAAAGTGACATGATTGTTAAAGAGCCATGATAGCTACAGTGATGATATTTGGCATATCCCTTGTCTGCATAGAATAACAGGAAGAAATTTTACAGAATTAACTTTCCACATTATGATCTAACCATTGATGATTTGAAGTGTATGTAGGTGCATGGGCCACTTGTTAGCTCACCGGGTCCGAAGGACCAAGGTGAGCTTATGCCATACTGTGGCGTCCGTCAACAATTTCTTTAAACGACTTCTTCTTCTTAACCACTGATTGGAATTTAACTAAACTTGACTGGAATCATCCCTAGGTGGTGGGGATTCAAAATTGTACAAATGGTGGGGCTGACCCCCCAGGGGGCTGAGGGGCTGGGCAAAAAGGGGGCAATTTGGATATATTGCTTTAAGCGACATCTTCTCTGGAACTAAGAGATGGATATTAACCATATTTGACTGGAAGCATCCCTAGGTGGTGTGGATTCAAAATTGTACAAATGGTTGGGCTGACCCCCCAGGGGGCTGAGGCTGAGGGGCAGGGCCAAAAGAGGGCATTTTGGCTATATTGCTACAAACGACTTCTTCTGTAGAACTATGCACTGGATATCAATCATATTTAATCAGAAGCATTCATGGGAGGCAGGGATTCAAAATTGTACAAAGATTGTGGCTGGCCCCCATGGCGGCTGAGGGGCGGGGCCAAAAAGGGTTATTTAGCTATATTACTTTAAGCGACTTCTTCTCTGGAACTAAGAGATAGATATCAACCATATTTGACTGGAAGCATCCCTAGGTGTTGGGGATTCAAAATTGTACAAATGGTGGGGCTGACCCCCCCAGGGGGCTGAGGGCTGGGCCAAAAGGGGGCAATTTGGCTATATTGCTATAAACGACTTCTTCCGTAGAACTATACCATGGATATCGACCATATTTGGTCGGAAGCATTCATGGGAGGCAGGGATTCAAAATTGTACAAATGGTGGGGGGGTCTGGTGGGGCTGACCCCCCGGGCTAAAGGGTGTGTCCAAAAAAAATATTACTTGGAAAAGGTTGAGATCCCCACCAAATAACCATATATACAATTGCTGAGTATAAAGAGAGGAATGCACATTTGCTTCCAGGATGGCCCTAGGGTCTGGCCCCACCCTTGGAGACTTAACCCCTGGGTCATAACTTTGAAACGGTTGAGATCCCCACCCCAAAACTATATATACAACTGCTGGGCAAAAAGAGACAAATGCAGTCATGTTTTTAGAATTGATCCTGGGGTCTGGCCACAACCCTAGGGACCTAGTTTCGGAGTCACAGCTTGGAAACAGTTGAGAACCCCACCCCATTACCATACATAAAATTGCTGGGCATAAAAAATCAAATACAGATATGCTACAAGGATTGGCCTTGGGGTCTGGCATATTTCCTTGGATCTCATTTGGAGAATATTTTGCCATGATTGCTTAGATATCCAGGTGAGCGATATAGGCCCTCTGGGCCTCTTGTTTTGATTTTGGAATGCATGGAATCATACAGAAGAGAATATCCGAAATATATATTTTTTTGTTTAAACTTAATTTATATTTATACATCAATATACAACCTGCCCAATAGATATTGTCCAAGTGTACACTTGTGATAACTAATATCAATATTTTGTTTAATAAAAACTGTTTAATGTTATTTTGTGTTGGGTATTTTTTTCCTGTTTGGTAATAGTTACTGTGCTCAGTACGAGATGATATTGGAACCTATGGTTGTTGGGGTTTAACCACGTTTTGTATCCCCCCCCCCCCCCCCCCACATCTGTCTGTCCATCATATTCATGAAATTGGGTGTTATGTGAACATATTTTTTTCTATACATACCTCATAACTTTATTAAAATACATTTTCAAATTAATCAAATCTTATATGTCTGTTTAGAAATGGTCAAGAGTGATGACAACGATTTTCTATAAATTGTCATGGCAACCTTGAACTTACCACAACCAAGTGTTCTTATTTCTAGTGCTGATCTGAATATCCAAGATGGACGCTATTACCTCTTATTTATTGCCTTAGACATTTTCAACTTCCTCACAACAATGGCTGAAGCTAGTGACTTCAACCTTGGTTAAAACGTTTCTTATCATGTCCCAACTAAATGTACTAATTGTTTTCAGCAGATCCAAAACTTCAAGATGGCCACCCTGGCCTCAGTTGGCTGAGCAATTTTCGACTTCTTCTATAAGAATAGCTGCAGCAGTTGAATTCAAACTTAGTAGAAATGTTTCTTTTGAGTCCCCAACAAGAGTTCTTACTTTTCGTGCTAATTTGAACATCCAAGATGGTCGCCATATCCTCTGATTGGCTGAGACACGTTCAATGTATTGCTAAGAACGGCTGCACCGATTGACTCCAAATTTGTTACAAAGGTTCTAAATGTGATTCCAAAACTAAGTTTTGTTACATTTAGTGCCGATCTAAAAGTTGAAGATTGCCGCCCTCGTCTCTGATTGACGGAGACATCTTTGTCTTCTCAGGAGCTACTGCCCAAATTGACTCTTAACATTTGTTCAAATGTTCCCTATGAGGTCTTCAACAAGTTTTCTTACTTATAGTGCTGATCCAAAAATCTAATATGGCCGCCCTAGATTCTGATTGGCTATGACATTTTCGATTCCCTCTAAAGCACAGCTTACCGATTGACTCCAAATTTGGTACAAATATTCTATATGAGGTCCCCAACAAGTGTTGTTACTTGCTTTTCTGAAAATCCAAGATGGCCAGGTGCATAATGGCCTTCGATTGGCTGAAACATTTTCGATTTTAACTCATATAGTTCATATAACCTTTACCATAACACCCTGAAACACACATACTTTAAGATATTTTGATACTTTATTAATAGCTCACCTGGTCCGAAGGACCAAGGTGAGCTTATGCCATACATGTGCGTCTGGCGTCCGTCCGGACATCAACAATTTCTTCAAATGACTTCTTTTTAACCACTAATTGGAATTTAACTGAATTTGACTTAAAGCATCCCTAGGTGGTAGGGATTCAAAGTTGTGCCAATAGTGGGGCTGAGGGGCGGGGCCAAAAGAGGTCAATTTGGCTCTATTGCTATAAACGACTTCTTCCTTAGAACTATGCACTGGATATCAATCTTATTTGGTTGAAAGCATTCATGGGAGGTGGGGATTCAGAATTGTACAAATGGAGGGGCTGACACCCAAGTGGACTGAGGGGCGGGGCCAAAAAGGGTTATTTGGCTATATTGGTTTAAGCGACTTCTTTGGAACTAAGCAATGAATATTAACCATATTTGACTGGTAGCATTCCTAGGTAGTGAGGATTCAAAATTGTACAATGGTGAGGCTGACTCCCCAGGGGGCTGAGGGACGGGGCCAAAAAGGTAATTTAGTTATTTTGCTTTCAGAAAATTCCTTCTCTGGAATTAAGCAATGAATATCAACTATATTTTGCTGGAAGTTTCCCTAGTACAAATGGATAAGCTGATCACCCCGGGGGAGGGCCAAAAATAGTTTATAACTTGGTAATGGTTGAGATCCCCGACCTATAACCGTATATACAATTGCTGAGTATAAAGAGATGAATGCACATATGCTTCCAGGATGGCCCTGGGGGTCAGGTCCCACTCTGGAGACTTAGTTCCTTGGCCATAACTTTGAAACAGTTGAGATCCCAATCCCAAAACAAAAAATAAGATTGCTAGGCATAAAGAGACGAACACAATTATGATATTAGAATTGACCCTTGGGTCTGGCCACACCCCTAGGGACCTAGTTTCTGAGTCACAACTTGTAAACAGTTGAGAGCCCAACCCTGTAACCATATATACAATTGCTGAGTATAAAGAGACGAAAGCACATACGCTTCTAGGATGGCGCCGGGTACGTCCCACCCTTGGAGAAGGTCTGGCCACAACCCTAGGGACCTAGCCTAGTTTCTGAGTCACAACTTGGAAACAGTTGAGATCCCCACCCCATAACCACATTACATACAATTGCCAGGGAAGACAAATCTAATACAGATATGCTACAAGGATTGGACTCAGCGTCTGGCCCTATCCGTGGGGTCTTCTTTGAAGAATATTTTGCCATGATTGCTTACATATCCAGGTAAGCGATACAGGACCTCTGGGCCTTTTGTTAAGTTTGCTATCGTATAGAAATAAACTTGCTAGAGATACAACGATGATGCACTGTAAAAAGTAACGATGGCCTTATCTGTGAGGTTGGTCCGACAGATTTTTCTCTGTTTGTTTGCCATAGGATCAACTTATCGGAAATGATGACTTTTATCCATGATCGTGAGCTATCATGTTGAATTTTAATAGAGTTCATTACACAAAGATCAAAATCTCATAAATTGGAGTCTGTGCCCATATGATCTGGCGTACTACCATTAGTCTAGTGAAAGAAATAAAAAAAATCTGAAAAGGTACTGGAATAAGGGAACAGTTGATTAATAGGGGTAAGAAAATTGTTCTTCTAGTTCTTCACCACGATGGTTTGGATATGCTATATTACACCCCCCTCCATGAATGGTATGTTAAGGAATGACTATTAAAACAGCTATTTATTACATGACATCATATTTTCCTACATTCTCATTGATTGAATCACAATCACGTGGAGGTCAGTGATGAGCGATTTTGTGGTGGTTTTCTTACATTTCATCTTGTTCAAAGGTAACAATTTCGTATTCAATGTAAGAATTAAGGACTTTTATTTCGTTAAATACGCGGTTATATGGACCTGGAAAATTATATCGACCTCAGCATCCTCTCCGGTTAATATCGACTTTTCTTGATAATACAACTGCATATCCACCTCTCCACAAGTTTATACCTTGTGATTTTGTATGTTAGAGGATGACTATCACACTAATGTGATATCTAGGCCAACGGGGATTCTACAGAGTGTATTTAGGGCCACACTCGGCAGAGGGGCTTGGTCCAGTGTAATAAGACTACAGCTGTAGTTTACTAAATATTTCATTGTTCTGGGCCTTTATATTTTACTCTTCCCACATACATTTTAAATATGAAATAAAAGATCAGGTGTGTTATTAAGACCACAGTTCAAAACAACAGGATCAATAGGATACTTGTCCATAAATATATATTTATTTCTACAAAAAAAGTGAATTTGACATATATCTACTTTCTGGAAGGGCTTATTGCAAGTTTTCTGTACACTGTTGAATTTATCAGGTTATCTGGTCTGTTTTCTGTAAAAAATGCAATACGTCCAAAAACATTTCACTAATTTGAAAAAGTATAATACCACCATGATCGGCAACCATATATTATTTGTACATGAAGTATTGTGTCAATGAGGGAAAATGTTAAATCAAACATATTTCAAAATTGATGTGTTTTTTTTCCTAATATCAAATATAATACCGGTAATACAATTTTACATTCATGAATAATTTACTCGCACGAGTGATACCGTCTGGATGGAGATAAAACGTTGGTATGGCGTGATGTACAGGATTTCTATCGGTATCCATTGCTAGCCTGTTTGCAACTTCCAAGTACGCGTAATTGAGCTGGATGCAATTTGGCCAAATTACACCGCTTTAGTTGTAGTTTCCATAAAGTGCTTTCTGTTTTTTAAACGACAAAACTGATATGAAAATGTGACCTAGATCGAAGTGTTTTTCCGGACCTCTGTTGGTATACCTTGGTACACAAAGCTATCCCGTTATATCCTATTTCTCAATTGTTGAGATTGCAAAGAAAATACCTGTCACATGGACAAATTCTTGCATAACTTAACTGCAATTAAAAAATATCCTTAAACTTATATTTAAATTAAACGTGTATATATTTCTGTATTTATTAATTACGACTTCTAGCAAAAGATACCCCAATCGTCGCGTTACTGATGAGATCGTGAACCTTTTCCCCAAACGACGAATTATTGATTGTTATAAAAAGGAGCAAGAAATCTAAAAAAAACACGCAATCACATGTACAACTACAAAGAGAAAACTGAACCAAGTAAGTGTGTTAAGCATGTAATTCTTTTTGACGGTCGTACAATAGAAATCGGTAAAAATAATAAGATATTTCCATATTTAAAAAACATCGACGGTTAAACTAAATTATGTCTTTATTGTTGTCTATAATTTGTCTCAAATTTAAAACAAGAAATTATCACATTGTGCTGACAAATATTCATGACTAGTCTGTGATCAAAGAGCACGGTCCCAATGAGGGTAGACGTCAACATCAGTGTTACTATAGAGAGGGGTTCTACCGTGATTTTCGGACATCATTTGGCTATTGGATGGAAATATCCATATTTTTTTTTTTTAAAGAAACGCTTTAATTTCCTCTGCTACCGTCACTAGTGAATTCCAATTCAAGCGTGCTATAGACCGCGAGAATTTCGCTAGACTTTGATGAGTATGACGTTTGGTTTTCTTCTTTTAACCCATCAACATATAGGGAATCAAATACTAAAATACACAAGAATACTTTTTTATCTCAATTTTTTGAAAGGAAAAATATACGGAAAAAAATCTGTTGAATTTAACGTATCTCGTAAACAGTATTTGATTTAAAAAAGAACAAATAACGGAGATCGTAGATACATGTGTACTAATGATGCGGTAATGCAGATTCATGTCGCGCATAATATATGATTATATCTCAAACAATGTAAATTGCAGCAGACGAGCTACTAGCTGAATAGATGGACTAGGTTTTTAAGTAAGGTCAGTTACTATGTCATTACATATATAGCGGATACTGCGATGATTATATCTGAAACGACATTACACAACAATGAAAATAATAACACACAATTGTCCCCCACTCCACAGCCAATCGGATCAGGTCACCCTCTCCTATATATATTGCGGACGATTGTTGCTCCGGCGTCCTAACATTTAGCAATGGAGGGCTACAGATTTATACTTGACGGGTTGTGTCTCTCGCTCTGTGTTTGGTTCGTAGGTTGCCACCCGGACCTCCGTGAGTTGATCTCGAAAAGAGGAAGAAATAAAGAAGGTATGTGATTTTGTCTCCTTTGCTCTCTTTGTAACCTTTTTACTTGACTACAAAGTCAAGGAGACATTTGTATGAACAATCTATGCACTGTCACCTTTTATCCCTCTGAAAAAAGTCGGCAGGATGTCCCATACAAAATTAAATCTTTGTGGTGTGGGTTTCCCCAAGTGATTGCGAACGAGACTATATTGATTTAAGGCACGGTCCACCCGAGGTCAAGGTCACCGTTGCATCTCTCTCATACAATTCAAACTTGGTATTTGGGTAGTCCAATATTCGATATAAAGTACATGTATTTATGTACAGATATGTGCCCGAGTTTCCTGCCCTTCTCCAACACAAATCCCCTGGCGGATCTTTTGTCTTTCTCTTTTCCAATTGGGCAGATATTGGACTTAATTTATTTAAATGCTCAAGCAACTTCATTTTAAGAACTAAAAAATGTTGTGATATTATGCAATTAGCTTGTAGGCAAATACTGCTACAAAGTCTGTAATAAAAATGAACTTTACTCTTAATCAATTGTCAAATTTGTTCAGACCGTCGTAAACGACAAATTGTTAGTAAACGAAATGCCCACTCGGGTCATGACACCTGAACAGTAGTTACTAGCTGGTAAAGAGTGATACAACGTATGAAAGTCGCAGGGATTAAGGGACAAAACGCTCAAACGACTTCTGCTGCAGAACAGATAACCTAATGTCATTAGGGTTTGAGAGTACCTTGCGACCACGGAGTGTTACGGTGTTTGTGAAAAAAATGGCCTTGCTCTGTTTTCAAGGTCACAGAGTGAAATATCTTTAAACACTCCGGCGATTCCATTTTAAGAATTAAAAATGACGAATCGTGTGATATATTGTCAAATAGCTGACAGGCTTGCATCTCCGCGAAATTCGAGAAAAACATTGACCATGACCAATATTCAAGGTCACAACGATCAAAGGTGAAGAGTCACGATATTTTGTCAATAGCTTGATGTATATAGGTAGTGTAAAGAAAAGATCACTTAAACGAGGTTGCATTTTCAGGACCCCTAGCGCCCCTTAGCTTCTTCTCTCGCATTAATTGCTGTTGTCTTTACTAGTTCATTTCTGCTTTGTCCGACTGATGCACAGGAAAAATACGTCTCGTGGGCGGCCGAACAGAGTATCAGGGTAGACTAGAGGTATTCCATGATGGACGCTGGGGGACAGTGTGTGACGACAACTTTGATCGATTCAGTGCACGAGTTGTTTGTAGACAGCTGGGACACAGGTATGTAGAACGACAGGTATATGTAGAACATGTGTAGAAAGACGGGATGTGTAGAAAAGATCCATCATCAACTAGGTACAGGATATGGTATACTTAATATAGGTAAGTCATGTGTACATACGCCGAGTCATGTGTATACAGTGACATACGTTGAATCATGTGTATACATGGACATACGTTGAATCATGTGTATATAGGGACATACGTTAAGTCATGTGTATACAGGGACATACGTTAAGTCATGTGTATAAAGGGACATACGTTAAGTCATGTGTATACAGGAACATAGTTAAGTCATGTGCATACAGGGACATACGTTAATTCATTGTAGATGGGGACATACGTTAAGTCATGTGTATGCAGGGACATACGTTAGTTCATGTGTATGCAGGGACATACTTAAGTCATGTGTATACAGGGATATACGTTAAGTCATGTGTATACAGGGACATACGTTAAGTCATGTGCATACAGGGACATACGTTAATTAATTGTAGATGGGGACATACGTTAAGTCATGTGCATACAGGGACATACGTTAATTCATTGTAGATGGGGACATACGTTAAGTCATGTGTATGCAGGGACATACGTTAAGTCATGTGTATACAGGGACATATGTTAAGTCATGTGTATACAGGGACATACGTGAAGTAACTGTATTAAGGGACATACGTTAAGTCATGTGCATACAGGGACATACGTTAAGTTATATGTACATACGTTAAGTTATGTGTAGATAGTGACATACGAGAAGTCATGTGTATACAGGGTCATTCATTAAGTCATGTGTATACAGGGATACGTTAAGTCATATGTATACAGGGACATACGTTAGGTCATGTGTATACAGGGACATACTTAGACAGGGACATGCGTTAAGTCGTGTGTATACTGGGACATACGTTGAATAATGTGTATACAGGGACATACGTAGATAGGGACATGCGTTAAGTCGTGTGTATACTGGGACATACGTTAAGTTTGTAACATATTATTTGGATATTATCAAATTTTAAAATATGAGCGCATTCATGAATAAAAAAAATCTAAATACAAAAAATCCATTTAACACAATCATTAATTACATAAATTAGCGCAATATGTAAAGCGCGAACGCGTTTACAGTGTACCAAAGTTTGATAAAGGTATATCATGTGTTGGCAGGGGTACACATGCATCGATGTACCTCTTCCCTGCTCCACACGCGAGTACTAGAGGTTCTGGGCAAATTCAGATAAAACCTATCGCAGCGACAGCGTAATGCAGGTTTACAAATATTTATGCGTTTCTTGTCATCATATAATAGTTTTGAAGAATCGCTGTGTTTATTCATTTTAGTTTAAGTATCAATAGTTTCGATAGAAGCACAAAAAACATTGAAGATGTTGGATGTATTTTTTGTTATTTTTTGAAGAATCTGTATATAGTATTATTTTAGTATTGTGAAGTCTTTTCCTAGCTATTGTGTCTGCGACACGACACAACCAAGGCGTGAGATACATTACTGAATACCGTTTAGCAACACGGATATACATCTTATATTATGAAACTGGAGATTTGTTCGAACCCTGTTGAGATGCGCATTAAATAATGTCATGCATAACAAATCGTGAATTTATCTGGAATGTTCTTATTGCACAAAACCTCACACATTATACGTGTATTTTTCTGTTGGTATAAAGCGGAGGTAAGGTGACCGAGTTTGCCTCTGGTATGTATGGTCCAGGAGAGGGTCCGACATGGATGGACAACGTGTCGTGTGAGGGCGGAGAGACCAGGCTCGTGGACTGTAACTTCCCTGGATGGGAAATTGAGGACTGCTCTCATTTTGAGGACGTGGGCATCAAGTGCGACCGAGTGGAAGAAGGTTCGAATGCATGATGTTTGAGTTTTCAGTTTGCTAAGTCGTTTAAGGGTTCGGCAAACTCTTCCCTCGTCCTCGAAATCCCAGGGGTCATGCTGTATTACGTTCTCTTTAGTGAGCGTAACTCCTGGAATTTTGGTGATACATGATATTATATTTTTGTAAAAAAATATATATATGTTTTTGGTCTTTGAGCTTTGACATTCTTGTGAGTATTTAGTATGTGTGTTTCGTTATCTTTGAAAAGCTTTTGGCATGGCAACGCATCGATATTTCATCTAGGCTAATGAATATGGTACGGAAACAACATGTAAAATGGCAGGTGGACTGGAAATTATTGAGTTTAACTAGGCTGCAACATGTCAGAGTTTGTCGGTTTTTATGATCGTTTACTGAATAATGAAGTGAAACGGATTAGATGGTTAATAAAGACAATATGAGAATATCTAGATTTTAAGATTTAGATATCGCAGATGATATTGAATCTGTTTCCCAGTACGAGAAGACGTACCCGATAGACATAGGAAAGTCTAAAACAGAAGACTCATAATCAGCAAAGGCAATACAATATAAACTCAGCTGAGACAGCAATGAAATATCAGGACAGATCGGAGAATCGTCAAAAATGTGGTCAAATTTACCCACCTTGGAGCGAAAGTACCCAAAACAATAATATCAAAGAAAGAATTAGGAAAGGCAAAATACATCTAAAATAAGATCTGGAAGAGCAGACAGCGTAATTCAATACAAATTGTGTGTTTTTTTTCAAATCAACTGCTATTGCTGTGCTATTATAAGGGCCCCGTATCGGAGATACGGGTGCCCTAATTTAATCACTCTCAGTCTGTAGCTTTGGTATTTATTGACCGATTTACATGAAACTTGGCCAAGATGTTCAGTTAAAAAAATAAACACTTTGGTAAAAAGTCAATGATCAAGGTGATTAAGTTCAAACGTCCAGGTCAAATTTTGCATCTTTTCACTAATGAACATTTTGTTATGACTTGATGAAGCAAAGTTGACCAGAATCAAACAAGAAGTCAACTGACAAAAGGTAAAGGTATTCGGGTCAGAGGTCAAAGTCAAGGTCAAATTTTGTAGCTTTTCACTAATGAGCATTTTAATGTATTATGAAGCAAAATTGGTCGGAATTAAACAAAGAGACACACTGAGGTAAAAAGTCAATGTCAAATGTCAATGTCATTAGGTTCAAAGGTCAAGGTCACATTTTGCTGATGAACATTTTGTTATGACATGATAAAGCAAAGTCCATAAGTATTAATCAAGAAGTCTACTGATTAAAGATCAAAGTCATCGTGTAAGAGGTCAAAGTTACTAGGTCAAAGGTCAAGGTCAAATTTTGAAGCTTTTCACTAATGAGCATTTTTATGACATTATGAAGCAATGTTGGTCGGAATTAAACAAAGAGTCAACTGACCAAAGGTCAAGATCACTTGATCAAAGGTCAAGGTCATATTTTGTATCTCTTTATTGATGAACATTTTGTTATGACACTATGAAGCAATATTGGTCAGAATGAAACAAGGAAACAACTGTCCGAAGGTCAAGGTCATTGGGTCAAAGGTCAAAGTTAGATTTTGTATCTTTTCACTGGTGAACATATCGTTATGACACTTTGAAGCAATGTTGGTCAGCATTGAACAAAAAGAGGTCAAGGTCACTGGGTCAAAGGTCAAGGTCAAATTTTGTATCTTTTCACTGATGAACATTTTGTTATGACATTATGAAGCAAAGTTGGTCGGAATTAAACAAAGTCAACTGACCAAAGGTCAAGATCACTTGATCAAAGGTCAAGGTCATATTTTGTATCTCTTTATTGATGAACATTTTGTTATGACACTATGAAGCAATATTGGTCAGAATGAAACAAGGAAACAACTGCCTAAAGGTCAAGGTCATTGGGTCAAAGGTCAAAGTTAGATTTTGTATCTTTTCACTGGTGAACATTTCGTTATGACACTTTGAAGCAATGTTGGTCAGAATTGAACAAGGAGTCAATTGACAAAAAGAGGTCAAGGTCACTGGGTCAAAGGTCAAGGTCAACTTTTGTATATTTTCACTGATGAACATTTTGTTATGACATTATGAAGCAAAGTTGGTCGGAATTTAACAAGGAGTCAACTGACTTAAGGTCATGGTCAATGGGTCAATGTCAAAGTCAAATATCGTATTTTTTTACTGATGAACATTTTTATTATGTTATTATGAAGCAAAGTTGTTCAGAACTTAACACGGAGTCAATTGACTGAAGGTCCAGGTTACGGGGTCCAAAGGGTTAAAGTCAATCTCAAGTTTTGTATTTTTCACTGATATTATGAAGCAAAGTTGGTCGGAATTAAAGAATAAGTCAACAGACCAAAGATCAGGGTCACTGGGTTAAAGGTCAAGGTCATTTGGGTCCAAAGGTCATAAAAAAGTGGATCTCTGACTGTGACCCTGGCTGTTGATGGAGGAGGTATTCAACGTGAAATAATACAAATCAAAGCTATTTACATTTCTGTTAGCCCAGCAAATATGGAGGTGGAAGGAAACAAGACTCGCATCATAGTACATGTAAAATGTATATTTTGCTTCCTTGCGATTCTTTTTGAAGTCCAAATGTCAAACGTCAAGCTCAGCTTAATGGGCAGATTGCTTCTTGATGATTATGGGGGATATATTGCCAGAAGACGGGGCCCTTACTGACATGTCAGTGTTCTAGTTTGTATGCGAAACATGGATGTTGACCAAAACGTATTTTGTGTACTTGAGCCTCAATAGAATCTTGAGAAATACTGGCAAATGTGACTAGGAAAGGAGAGGAGAATATAGAAGTGGCATGGACCAACACTGAGGATAGGTACAAATAAATCATTGAACATAACATTGACTGGGAAGATATCAAAGTCGGCAAAGAGAAACTTGGAGACTAAAGTTGGTGAATGAGACTATTGTGATTGACACCTGATTACTGTTACAGCAGAGGTTTTAGAGAATACAAAGTAAACATAGTCGCAGCTTTGTTAAAGCCTGCCTTTAAGATCGAGATCATCTGGTTATAACTCTCGTACGATGAACATTTAATTCATATACATGGTAAAGTTTACTATTTTTACGCCTCCATATTTCTAGGAAAGCTGCGGTTAACCGGCGGTGCTACTCCCCTCCAAGGCCGTCTGGAAATCGTCCATGACGAGCGTTGGGGCTCTGTATGTGATGATGGATGGACTCAGGTGAATTCTCGTGTCGTGTGCAGTCAACTAGGTTACAGGTAAGTATGTGAACGGTTACGGCCATCTTTGCTTGTTTTACTGGCAACATAACGAGATAAAAAGTAGGGTTGATAAAGACTGTCACACTAATGTAAGATAAGTTGAATTCAGACAGCGTTCGATGTGTGATACAATGTTGATTGAACGAGACAAAATCGATGTGAATGCGTAAATCTAACATCAGCCTCATTTTATTTGCATTACCAATGAGAGCCAAGCATCATACACTCATGTCCTGGTTTAGTTCACTTTAACATTCTTGACACCCATAAAACAATGTAATCTTCCTCGATTTTCATATGGTATGTCTCGACTTCAGCGGAGGGACTGTCTATGAAGCCTCCGATGGTAGCGGGACAGGTCCTATATGGATGGATGACGTGGCGTGTCGGGGTGACGAGGACAGCCTGATGGACTGTAACTTTCCGGGATGGAAACTCGAGGACTGCTCGCATTTTGAGGACCTGATGATTGCCTGTGATCCTCTCGAAGAAGGCAGGTGTAGTGAGGATGTATAATTGTAATTTTTCTGTCGAGGACATCTCGATTCTTAAGATAGACTTGTCGACCAATAAATTATGTAGCAATTTTTTTTTTGCTGAAAATGATCATACTCATTAATCAAAAACCGTCGGTACTTCCGTAAACGACCATTTTCTCGTTTACGGTAAGTGCCGATGGTTCCCGATTACGTCAAAAGCGAATAAGACGTACATAACCTAAAATAAGTTTAACCTGAGAATATTTAAGGTTTGATGGTCGACATCGATATATCATTTCCGACTGTGGGATCCCATTGTCTGCCACGTTTAGAGACGTGTTGTCCGTTTCTTAGCGACCGACACCATACTTTTCGCCAATTTTACGTCAGATGACCTAAAAAGGACAGCATTAAAGTAGTTCATACTATTTTGTTCGGTACCTTTGTACATATTGTATATGTTAATCGTGAATGTCTCGTTTTATCCCGTTCGTAAAATTAAGGGGATATTTTTGTATGTCGGTTCTGATACAATAACATTTCATACACACTCGTGTTGGTCTCGTTATACACATTGGGATTGGTGCAATGCATGGATGAGTTTGGGTAGCGCATATATACTTTGGATTCGAGCTCGGACAAAAATACACGATACCTTTCAGTCGTGACTACCGTAGGCATACGCGAAATTCCAGGGCTTGCGCTCTTAGAGAACGTAAGTGTGCGTAAACCCTGGAATTTTGAAAATACTGTGTATATTGTAACTGACCGCCGGTCCATGTCCATGATGTCAGTAGCTAGACTGGCGTGTGCGATTAGATGATCTTTCATTAACAGGAACCGTTCGACTGGTCAGTGGTCAAAATGAACAAGAGGGTAGGGTCGAAATTGTCCACAACGGAAAATGGGGAACCATCTGTGACGACGACTTTGACGAGAACGACGCCCAGGTCGTATGTCGACAACTAGGATACAGGTAAATCGATATTGACCTGCATCGTTTGGCTTTATGATAAAGTGATACCACCACCTGTTTCATTTACACTGATGAAGTGTGTGACAGGGTTAAATTATGGGCATTCGAAGAGTAAAGTGCACAAGTTTAAACATGGAAATAACAAACCGACACGGATAACCAAATAATCATACATTAAAGCAGTAAATTCGAGATATGTATTTATGAAAATATGTACCATATGTATATAAGTATCGAAGTGATTATGCAGGTTATTGAGCCTCGTGATTTGGTTTGTAGTGATTTTGTTGTCACTACCAGAGCTCTCGGTGTGAGGAAGTGGTATCCCGTAGATTTGACCTAGATTGAAACGGCGGGTGTCGTCATTAAAGCAAAAGACGCTTATCCTTCTGGAATGCCTGGGCCCGTATACTTATAAAACCGTTCTCATGCTCTAGCGTGCATTTTGTGCTCGAGCCGAATTTCTATTCTGTGATAATTACTATTGATCATCTTATTTTGTCAATGATTTGGGGAAAAATGAAGAGAATACTGTTCAGTATTAAGGTTTGACTTTTTAATCATTCGGCAGCGAGTTACAAGAAAGTTGGTTTGATCACAAGATCTATGCCTGAGCATGAGAACGGTTTCATACGGCCCTGGTCTTAATTTTGAACTTTTTAAAGATTTTTCGTTTAAATCTTTCCTTTGTTCATATTTTGCCATAGTTTGTCGATTTTGTGTTAAAATCTTGATTTTATTGACACTTTTGCATTGTCTTGTTGTTTTTTGACTTGACTGACAACAATATTGGATTGTAAGGAAATATTCGTTTGGTTTTTATATATAGTGGTGGCAGTGTTGCCAGGGAAGCAGCCTTCGGAAGAGGGAAGGGTCCCATTTGGATGGACCAGGTCACGTGTTCAGGAAATGAACAACGATTGACGGAATGTGAATACCCCGGATGGAGGCAAGAGGACTGCTCCCATTGGGAGGATGTTGGAGTGGTGTGTATCCCAGTGTTAACTGTACCCGAGGAAGAAGAGGATAGGAACGAGGTGGAATCCAACAATTCACCGATCTAATTTGATTATAAGAGAGGGACACTACTCCTTGGGGGTATACTATGCCTATTTCCGCTTAACAGTGTTATTTCCGTGATTTTCACGATGTGATGAAATTATATATAATGGTCGACCAACAGACGTAGGATGAAGGAGACTACCCAGTGTATATAACACATTGGATGTGTTCAGTTACCCCAACAAAACGTAGCACAGGAAACACGATTCTGCAGATCCCCAACACAAGTCGTTTTGAAGGCGGTGTACGATGCGATGGGCAGGTCTATTTTTCTCTCTGAACCGGTACAGGCAGCTTTTCGGGATATTTTCAACCCTCGAAACCAAGATGACAATACTTTACACACCTAACAATATTGAAACCCCACGTTGAGACAAAGATAATACATATACTTGGAATCATACAGTAACTGTCATGTTACTGCTCCGCCTCCGATTTAAATATGAAAATAAAGACAATATCAGCAGGCATTTGTTATTTTTTATCTATATTTTACATTATAATTTATGAATGGCGTTTCCCAAGAACGACCTCAGCAGAGTTAACGGCTTGTAAGATATTATAACATAGAACTCTAACTAGAATAGTGAAACGTGTTTAATTCGACATCCCGAGTGACAACATATTGGCCAGATTATATTGGTTTCGGATAAGAAATATTTCAAATACAGATTTGTTATAAAATCATCAGGTGTTTTTCCTATTCAAACGAACATTTGCATCATGAGATAATTACCTGAATTTGTTCTCATAACATTCTCAATTATTTCCGATGCACAATTTCCAAGATGTTACAAATTATTCAAAAGAAATTATTTTGATAATTCAATGTAAAATGTGCAAATGCATGAAATATAGAAGAAAGAAAAAACTACTGTGACCTTTAAAGATCATTACTGTTTTCAGGGTTTGTCCGGCGTTGGCCTCGAGATTTTAACCACAGGCAATTATTGAGAAAATAATCCTTACGACATGTTAGTCGTTTATATGTTATAAGTTGTCTTAATGCTGTGCGCCCTCTCCTAACCAATTTGTGACAGTGATTTTCAGGATTTCATGTAACTGATAGTTGTAAACTTTAAAGTTTTACGCGGAATATTATTACTTCGTGTCAAACTAATGAGGGTAAATTTAAAACGCGTTTTCTTCGTCAGATGCTCCATGTGCACATACTGTAGACCGGAAAGTTCGCCGCAGTTTAACTTTCGCCCCTTTCGTCCCTTTCGCCTTCCGATCTGAGGGCGAATTCAACATGACGGCGAAAATTTAAAAAGAAATGACGTATACGACGGCACATGTTTTGTCACTATTTCGTCTACACTGAGGCAGATACCGTATGTGATGCAATTGGGGTCCAGTATGATCCAATGTTGGCGATGTAGAGCGAATACAACACTGGGCGAATAATGACTCTGTCGGTGAAGGGCGAAAGATTCCCAGTATACAGTATATATTTGGCAGTCCTGGCGATTTCGATAAACTCGAGCAGGTCGAAGCTATGTCAATTTGGAAAAAAAAGTCAAAAAGGTCCCAACCGAGGCAAACCATTTAGTTGTGAGTCTGTTTTCAGCGCTTAATGTCATTTCACAAAGCAGATTCGGTCCAATTCCAACACATGTGCAACGAGAAGCTTACCACGGGAAAATTTACTAACCTCGACGACCCAATCAAAACTTTCACTGAAACACTCAATTCTATTGCCCAAAAGACAATTCCAAAATCCTCCCCAAAACCTACGAAGAATTTTTTAAAACACGCAATAATCGGGCAGCTGCTCTAAGACGCTACTTGAATTGCCCAACCGCTTCAAACTACAGTGATTTATAAATTTGGCGGGCAAAGGCTCGGCGATTAATTAAAATTGACAAAAGAAACAGCTGGAGAGAATATGTATCCAAGGTATCATCAAACACATCCTTCAAAAAAGTGGGGGGAAAAATTGTCAGCATCCTCCCACCTTATTAATAAAAACAAAAACAAAATCGTCAAAGTCTGAAATTGCCGATGCATTTGCAAAAAAACATGGCTAAAAACTCATCCCCTTTAAACCACTCCCAAAAATTCCAGTCTTTAAAGATAAAATATATTTAAAATCATCAAACAAAGAAAGTAACAATGAACCATTTACCCTACCACAACTTGTTGATTCGCTTGGAAAATCAAAGGACTCTGCTTCAGGTCCAGATGATATTCCATATCAATTTCTCAAACACCTACCGGACTCGTCACTAAGATGCCTTCTTTACATATCCAACCACGTTTACGCTTCCGGAAGGAATCCAGATTCGTGGGAGAACTCCACAATTATACCTATCCCAAAACTGGGAAAGGATGCTACTGACCCAAACAACTATCGTCGTAATTCTCTGACTAGTTGCGTATGTAAAACTTTAGAACGAATGATAAACACAAGACTGGTATTGTTTCCTGAGGCTAACGATATAATATCCCCTCTTCAAAGTGGTTTTATAAACAGGAGAGGGACAAATGACCATCTCATCAGACTCCGACATTCATTCGAGAGGCTTTCCCAAGGAAGGAGCACCTTGTTGCCGTGTTCTTTGATCTTGAGAAGGCCTATGCTACTACATGGCAATATGGCATCATGAAAGATCTTCACGACCTTGGCGTTCGTGGAAACCTCCTCAATTTTAAATCTAATTACATATCAGATAAACACTTCAAAGACTTTGTTGGTTCAACTTTTTCGGAAACGTCTAAACATGAAATTGGAGTCCCACAGGGTGGAATCCTATCAGTCACCCTGTTTGGTCTTAAAATCAATGATATAGTCAAATGTCTTGGTCAGTCAACAGAAGGGTCGTTATTCGTGGATGATTTTTTGATCTGTTACAGATCTAAGAACATGCACACGATAAAACGACAACTTAAACAGAGTTTCAACAAACAACAAAATTGGGCAGACGAAAACAGCTTCAGATTCTCTAAATCAAAAACTGTGTGCATGCATTTCTGTCAAAAACGAAAAGCACACAATGACGCAAATCTTACACTTGATGGCACTAGATTTCCTGTTGTTGAACAGACTAAATTTCTCGGCCTCATTTTTTATTCGAAATCTCTTTCATACCATATATAAAGTATCTGAAGGAGAAGTGTTCCAATGCGTTAAACATTATACGAGTCCTTTCTCATACTGATTGGGGAGCGGACCGCGAAATGTGTTTGCGCCTATACAGATAACTTATTCGAACAAAACTGGATTATGGTTCTATGGTATACGGCGCGCAATTCTTACCTGCAGATTGCTAGACCCAATCCATAACCAAAGGCTACGTCTAGCCCTTGGAGGTTTTCGAACAACACCTGTAAAACGCCTGTACGTGGAAGCGAATGAACCATCCTTTTATGAGAGAAGGGAAAAACTTTTACAGTTTGCAGCTCAATTAAAATCAAACCCTAAAAATCCTGCTTTCGACCAAGTATTCAACCCAAAATACCAAAACATATTTACGCAAAACCCAAAACTTCTGCCAACATTTAGTATCCAAATTTCAACTTTCCTGCAAGAACTCAACAAAAAGTTTCCTTTCGGGAATGCATTTCGAGTTACCCTTCTCATACACAACTTTACACCGATGGTTCCAAAGAAGGTGAGAAAGTGGCCGCAGCCTGCTGTTCCGCTAATTCTTGCACTTCTGTTCGCCTACCAGACGGCGCCTCCATCTTTTCTGCCGAAGCATGTGCCATTAGTTTGGCCCTCGACCATATCGATGAATACCGTGTTGAAAAGGCAATCATTTGTTCAGACTCTCTATCTGTCTAACAAAGTTTACAGTTACGGGATTCTAAAAGCACGCTCGAACAAAACATTGCTTTTCAAATATATCGTATCTTAAAAAACATCTAAAAATAACTTTACTATTGATTCCGAGCCATGTCGGAATTAAAAGAAATAAATTTGTTGACAGGGAAGCAAAAGATGCGTTAAAATCTCGGAACAAACAAATATCAAACTACTATATACAGATTTTAAACCTATTTTTCGTACAGCCATTCAAAATTCAAAAAGATATATCTTTGATAAACAACGTCAAATTGTTTGAAAAAGCAAATGAAAGTAATACGAGAAAACATCATCAAGTTTATATTAAGAAAGAGTTCAATGTCCAAAGACAAAAAAGCCAGTTTGCTGGAAACGTTCATGTTATATTTAATACTTAAATCGTGAGTTCCTCAACTGCATACATTATAGTCGAGTGAAATTTATCAGACGCTGTCATTCCAAACTGCTGCATGGTTTTCGTAATAATGTCTAGATCATGTCTGCCTTGTTCATAGTGTATTACAAAATTAATGTTCTCATGTTCAAACGTAGAGCATTTTCTGAGATGTTCCGCCATGTGACATGAAAACAATTGTTCTGTCAAACTTCCATATATTTCTATATTGTATCGAATTCCGTTAGGTACTGTGTAACTAACTGCCAGTGTCATGAGTTCGAGCCTGACCGATTCCCCATTTTTACAGTCGCTGCCTAAAATGAGACAAAAGTCGTTGAAGAAATAATCGACATTAGTGGCTAACAGACGATACGGTACCCAGTCAGCAATAATTCTTCCTTGAGGAAACAATCTGTCCGTGTCTGTTTTTGATGACAGTAGTTTTTGCATGTCCGCCTTGTTCAGGATCCTGATTTGTGTATTAGTAACGGTAGGGAGAGAAGGGGCGACCTTTGACACCAGCCCTTGATAGAACAAGATCGCCTGAAAACGAAAACAAAACTTGTAGGGAAACACAAATGTAGCCTTTCCTAATTACCTTAAAACAATATTAGAGCGTACGAAAAACTTTCTCTTATTTGAAATTTTGAAAAGAAATGAATGCCTATCTCATATCTACGAATGGAAATACAGTGCATTGTACTGTAGTAAACATACAAACATGTCACTAGTTATTTAAAACTTCTACTTCTTAAGTGACGAACTGTCGATCATTTAGTTTATGTGAAGAACTGGATTAACTACGTAAATACAAGAGTACTGCTGCCATATATATTTTAGGACATTACTAGAAGAAACTTAATGATACCGAGACGCGGGATATGCTACAATCGTTTTAACATACCTTTTATATCGAACCGCCAACGAGAACTTGTTGAAATGTTGTTTATATTTAGAGAGTGTGAAGCTGCTTATAAACCGAAAGTGAGTTGCCGATTGGAATGTAATGTAAAGCTAGGCCTTGAAAAAGAGCTTCTGTGTCTATTTATAAGCTAGATGATAAAATCATAAGAATGTTGCTGATATTTAAATATTATCTACAAGTTTAATTATACATGAAATGTTATAGATTGATAGTACTAATCATTAGAATTATCTTTCTAGCTTTATCGCGCCATTTTTGTGTAACATTACGCATGTCGTCTGCTATTCTTGCGAAACCGAAAGTGTTTGTCCTTTTTATTAGTTTTGTGTTTAAGCTTGTCCTTATTGTTGTAATCACTTTTAATAATAATAATAAGAATAAGGACAGAAAGAGGATACATGTTAGGTATTGTAACTTTGTAAATACTAGATTTATAATGCGAGAGGGTGAGGAACTTTTTTTGAGAGTTGATGTGAGAAGCGATTCGATTGGTTGAGATGGACCATGTGATCATGTGAGAAAGGTATAAAAGGAGGCGCAAAAGACGTTCATGTCAGACAATCTTGTAGCTTTGGCCACGACAATATTATTCCTAAACCTTCAATAATGTAGCAACGCTTTATCAAAGGGAGATAACTTCTAATTCTAGGGAGATAAATTTACTCTTAGGTATGTAGATAGTTGAGCTATTCTGTTTCTCTATTGAAATATTTGATTACTTTTAAAATAGATTAGTAGTACTATACTGTAGTACTAGGCTAATACTGTATTACCGTTACCATAATGATATAGTGTAAAGTAACTGCTACAGATATTGTATCAAATGCTAAGCCTATTTTCTTGTTAAACCACACAAGTTATTCCATATTTGAAGTTTTATGCAGTACATTATTGTCTCCCACCACACTGACCTCTGACAGTATGAGAGCATGATGTTTGAGAGAGTTGCAGCACCTCTGTACAAATTTATGACTGACAACATGATGTGTAAAAAAGACAAGTGAACTGTTTTTATTGTGTTTGTGAAGTAACTCTAATTGATGACCACATCAGACCAAGGTCAGGCCTGCTACAGTACTTTTAAAATGTATGGTCTTGTAATTTGTTTTAATACAAATTACAATGAAACATTTAAGCTACCTTCTGTAGTACGAGAGTGGCCTTTCCTTGCTCTACTTTCTTTAGTAGAGTTTTATTGCCGAATGTGAACACTTTGCGTTTGAGCCTTAGATTTCCTGCAATTTCCTGAGAGATGAAGTCTCCCAGGCGATTGACCATCCCTCTACCTTCGTAACCTTTCCGGACACGTAGTGCCCGTGTGAGCATGGTCTCCCCGTCATCAATGAAAGCATCACATCGGAACGCTACCTACAGGCGAAACGTAAACAACCGTGCATCAACATACAGCAATTGCAATTATGAGTTTAACTGCTCGTACAAAACAATCAATAGCAGAATACAAATGTAGAAAGACGTCTAAATATACATATCTGGTAATTATAATTATCTCGCAGTCCTGTTTCTTTCCTTTTATTTGTGTTATGTAGTGTTTGTTTGATCCAGTTTCCACATTATTAAAACATCTTCGGTCGACCGTGAAGAAAAGATGGATGTTAACTTTTAACTTTTGGTTTAGAAATAAATTATGCACAATACTTGTATTATCTGCGGTAAGCTTTGTTGGAATATTCTTGTTTAAGCTTCTAATAAACTATAATAGTAAAATTGTTACAATTATTCACTATTCTTCTTTCTAAAACAAAATTAAATTGTTTTTTTCGCCCAGAAGTATGGAATAAAGATACCTATTACACCTTTTGTAGGATGTTTCCGATTAGTACTTGGTGACAGTTTTGACTTACCATCGTTTTATTCACAGTCAAGGCATACCCGACGTGATTGGTCATCATGGACCGATACAGTGCTGGTAGGTAGTCCAGGCCATCATATACGTCATCACGGATATCCATGACGTCATCATAGTCCTCAATGTTAACTTGTCGACATTCAATAAGGTCCATGCTAGCTTGTTCAACGGTTTAACTTTTTTCAGTAAATCACCATATCAAACCACCTTAACGTTGTTTTCCTGCAATTAACGTATCATTTATAATACGACATGACGTAAATGTGTGTGAAAATCAAATACTAAATGAGGTTATCATTTTTCATTTATATAGTCACCTTTCACGTAACAGGGTGATATAATCTGCTGTGGGTTGTTTAGTCCCCGATGTTTGCTGTAACCTTGATGGCCACAGTTATCTCTCTAGAGTAGTGACACGGTTAAGGATATACATATGCAGGTAGGGCGTAATAATTGCAATTGCTGCCCCCCAATTGCATGATCGTAAGAGGCGACTAAATTCGGGACCTTATCGTTTCTCTTCTTTCTAAATAACTTTCTTTTTCCTAATGTCTCCCTTGACAAAGCCTCTCTTTTGGCCATTTGTTGAGCGTTCGCCCCTGTGAGGAAGGCTTTGGGTTCTGTCCCCTGGCCGAGACATACCAAAGTCTTTGAAAATGGTTGTTTCTACTCCTGCTTAACGCTCAGCACATTAGGAGTGGGACGACTGGTTCGCCCGTTGTCAGTATAATGTGGCTGGGTGGGGCGTCCTGCTGGGTGTCTTTGGCAGTATGTTTCAGTGAGGTAGCACTATACAGTCGGCATCAGTTTCGCGCTATCACAAGGAGACAAACACGAACATATCGCAGCCTCCCAAAACACACACACATACACTACACACATGCATCTTGCACACAGGGGAGGCCGTCCTTAAATGACGTTAGATGTTAATAGGACGTTAAACAAAATAAAACCAAACCAAACCATGTGTAGAATTTTAAATTCGTAATCAATGGTGTTAAAGCACATGCCCCTTTTTGTAACAGTAGTTAAAAATATTTGAATTTCCAACTATTTTGCACCTAGCAACAGCTGTATTTTAAAGGTGCAATCACACACATATATATATATATATGTGTGTGTGTGTGTGTGTGTGTGTGTGTGCATTCAGCTATAAATTCAGAGAACTGCGGGTGGACGACATCGTGAATGTTACCAGTTACTCTCTAATAGCCGATTACATTTATCAATGGTATTAGTACAGACTTAATAAGCCATAACGTCGATATTTAGTATATCAATCATTTCTCATATTTCTAATGATATTATGTTATGTAATCAACGCAGCTTTTTATATGGTTCAGATGCTATAGGTCCGAATGTTGTCATTTTAGTCTTGTATAACGTATTGATGCAAGTCAAATTAAAACGACGGGATTCATCATATCTTGTATGTTTATCGAACGACCTTTTGTAAAGTGCAGTTTAATCTTGACTGAAGTGGTATTTTGTGAACATGGCTAAGTACAGCTTTGTATGCATACGTTAAAAAAGATGATGCATTAGAGTCTATAACAAAACCATACATAAATTCTAAAAAAAATACCACCCTGTATGAATGATAACCACATGATCGATATATATATTTATCAATTTTGTTAAGGAAAAGAATAAAAGGAACCGATCATATAAATTGATCAATATTTAACCGATATTTTGTGTTTACAAATACCGGTATATCACTGTATATGTACACCTTTGAACAACTATATCAGTAGAGGACACATGTATATGTATATAACCGTTATCTTTTTGTTACATAATAGTCGTCATGAAAAAAACAGAATGGTCGTTTATCGCGGTACATGTATTAACAATTGGTCACGGGACAAACGGCTAGAGAGTTTCATTATTGTGACTATGGGGATGATTATAGACGACGTTCAAAGCGGATAAAAATAGCTGTCCTACAGATTTTTCTATACAACGTATTTTATACATTATCAATACGATAAGATGTTCTCTGACTTTCGGAATTAGTGCACAATAAACATTAAAATCAACAGTATGTAAAATGAATTTAAATAAATAATCGGTTATGTCATAATAACTTCTTTAGAAATACATGTACAATGCATATATATATATACAATGCATATATATATATATACATATATGTGTTATATCTACCGGACAATGAAAATGTAATATGTTTTAGTATATATACATTGAAAGGTGATTTTGAACGAATACAACATGACGTACCTTGTTTGTTTGTTGTTTTATGGAGGCGGACTTTTTCCCACAGTGCAACATTCAAGATGGTGGGCTCCTGTTAAAGGAATGTATTCCCACCGAGACACATGACATTCCTAATCTGCAAAAAAATGTGCTCTGTGAAAGTATCACTTGCATGACAAGGTTTCGGTTACGTAGAATGAAGTTCCACTTTGATAGCAGGAAAATGCAACACATCCTTCACTAATTCCATACCAAATCATCAGCATATATTCTCACAATTCAATACCCTCAATTTATATAAGATATCTTGTTTGATAAGCGAAACAATGTGGCCAGCAATATCAATATTTACGCGGTCTATGTCAATTATGATAATTTACGATAAACACATTTACATTTACTTTTCCTTTATCTATCTTATCGTAATCTGTTTAGTTTACGAAAGGGTCGATCTTTGAAACGTTTGAATATTACCCTCTGTTGTCTAGTTTGATATATTATACCAAATATATGGTGGTCGGTTAGGGCCAAATAACAAATATCGTGATTTCGCTCCCTCGACATAAAGACACAAATGAGAAAACACGACGGAGAGTAAGCAATTGTTATCTCGCTAAGGGCGAGGGGACGAGACTTACCCACTAAGGGCCATATTTGTAATTTTGTCCTTTCCGGCCACCATACAAAGCCAATTGGTTCTACCCTTCTTTAGGATCAGATCGGCCCGCCCATCTACCGATCTCATCAGAACTCTGGGGTGACTTACAGGTTATGCCTTCGGTTTTTGTGGTTTTTTTTGTCTGCTAGTCAATTTTTAGTTTTTTCCCCAAATTATTTTTATTGGACAGATATAAATAGCAGACTGGCAGTATCGCATCATAGCAGCTCGTACACCATCCCGCTGCAACCGGCACGCAGGACTGCAACTGTTTATTGACAGTCACATCATCAACTTGAATTACTTATCTTTATCGTTAGCCTACCATGTCAGTTCACAACTAAAACAAAATAATCTAAGTGAACCTGGTAACAACTATTTCCTCCATTCGAATATGAACGACGGTTACCTTCGGTTTTTGTGTTTTTTTGTTTGCTAGCCAATTTTTATTTTTTTCCCAAATTATTTTTATTAGACAGATATAAATAGCAGGCTTTCAGTATCGCATCATATAGCAGCTCGTACACCATCCCGCTGCAACCGGCACGCAGGACTGCAACTGTTTATTGACAGTCACATCATCAACTTGAATTACTTATCTTTATCGTTAGCCTACCATGTCAGTTCACAACTAAAACAAAATAAACTAAGTGAACTTTGTAACAACTATTTCCTCCATTCGAAAATGAACGACGGTTACCTCTTGAATATCCTTCTGCTCGTTTACATGTCCGGTCACAAATGATGACTGTTGCACAATATAAAGGTTGCATGCACTTAGCAGTTGCTGGTATTGAGGCATAATTGTCATCATTTGTAAACAGGCATTATGTACCTCACGCCTCTACCGACCACCGGGATCTAGTTTGTAAATGAGGTCAGGCCTGTGGCAGATTTAAAAAAATATATAAATTTCAGAAAGATAGCTCTAAATGCCTCAATTGATGTTGGTGCATATATTTTGTTTTACTAGATAAAGAGGGACGCAATGAGGTGGTGGTATTCATGTTGTGTATGCCAATTTCTGTCTACGTAGTATATATTTCTCTTACATGGTGTTTATTTTGTCATTTTATTGTGAACCAATATAACGTAGATTTTCTCTACAAATATGTGTTAAGGGATTGAGGTGAGGGTAATAACTAAAGCGTTTACTAATGTAATTGTTTATGATGATCTGTCGATTTGTAAGTAAAGCTGATCTTGTCGAGAATTGTATTATTGTCTGCTGTTTAGTGTTTGGGTTTTCTATCAATGACATACTAGAGAGGTATAAGTTTATCTTATTTGATAGCATGCATCTATTTCAAGAGTGGGATGTAATGTAACGAAGGTTATTTATCTAGGTCATTTAAAAATGAAACAAGGTTAGCACGATAGATAAATGTTTTCGCTAATTTGTAAATTATTACACCATGCAAGAGTTACAATGCAATTTTATATTACCTTATATTTACATTCTGTATGCTTAGACCCATTGACAAAAATTACATTCATAAATGCATAACACAGGTGTTCATAGAATCTCAGCACGTGGGAACTGATAGTAACCTGATCACACTGCATAGTAATACACTACAAAAACTACTCACTCGGAACGAACGAACTAGATGCTTAATTCTTACATCTTAAAATATTATTGAACTGTGCTTTGTGAAATATCCACGTATTCACGTGTCCTGTGCTACAAATAACCATTCAATATGGAACTACATTTTGTTGTGTTATTGTTGTTGACGGCTGCTAAGATCTCTCACGATAGTGTCACATTTCCCCGCGAAAAAACACTGTTCTCGCCACTGCGTTGCACCCGTGTATAAGCAGGAACAAACCCTGTTTATTTGTTTTATTCGTTGTTATATCAATCTACTGAAAGGATTCGCCAATGTAAATATAAGGAATGATATTTATTTTTTCAACATTTATGAGGACATAACAACAATGGGTTTTTGGACATATTTTACATGAATCGCTAACGCGATTCATTCAATATGTCCATAAACCCATTGTTGTTATGACCTCATAAATGTTGAAAAAATAAAAATCATTCCTTAAATGTTGCATTTGAGGTGTTCTAAATTTTAATTCGTAGCGTATTGATCTTTTAATGTATGATGCCCGTGCGTCATGTTGTATAGATTGTATCCCAGTCGGCTATGTTTGTTAACTTTATAATTCAAAATAAAAATATAATTCAATAGGAATAATTCGTATCACGTAATCTGACTAAACAGGCACGAACAGACTGAGATAAAACAATAAGTACGTATGTATCATGTGACCTGACGACACAGGCATGAGCAAACTGATATAAAACAGTAAGTAGGTATTATCACGTAACCTGACTACACAGGCAGGAGCAGACTGATATAAAGCAGGAAGTATGTATGTTTCACGTGACCTGACTACACAGGCGCGAGCAAACTGAGATATAGCAGTAAGTTTGTATGTATTGTGAACAATAGCTAGGCCATTCAAAGGCAGTCAAAATCTAATTCATAAAGAACCGGGAAGATGCATAATTGAGTATATTTAACCTACGTTTTGAAAATATATAAATGTTACATTTATTATCTTACGTATAAAGTCATGACCCCGGTCGCTCAAAGGTTAGTTTTATTGAGTGAAAAAATCAAATTGTTGCCACCAACACAACGGTCCTTCAAAGCAGAATCTCCTCAAAACAAATCAATCTGTCGTATGTAAACAAATCTATATTAGCATTGAAATGATGTCAGATTTTATTGATTTGTTGTATTCAATTAATTATCTTTCCCTTAACACCTAATAAACTCTAATAAACATTTGAGCCGCCGGGGCCTGGGTATTTGATCAAAGATATAAACATGAAAGAGTTAACAATTTAATTCAAACAATGACATTTTCAATGAAAGCTGTTTCTTCCTTCAAAATTTCTTTTGACTGACATATGCAGGCGAGGTCAAGATCAGACGGTTTTTGGTGAATATATATTGATATAAATATCGAAGCAAAAAGATTAAAATTTTAGACAAAAAATCAACAAAAACTTAAAGACATGTTTAATTAGTATTCCTTATAATTCATTTTAATTAAGATATTGACTAGTGAATAGGCATGTTTGATTAAGAGGTACTCATTTCCATATACACATGTACCTTTCTTTTTTCTAGTGTCTCCTTTTTATCCATGTAAAATATTTTAAAAGGGAATTTTACTAAATCAGAGATTTCCATGCGTAATATGTAATCTCAACAAAAACAACAAAAACTGTTTCCTCCACACAATTTTAATATATGGTAATTGAAATGAATTGCTTTACGTCCCCTATAAAATGATTTCGTCTGGGTAAAACAAAACAATAAATCGTACAAATGATGTAATATATAGAAAATTTCAGCACAAAAAACAGAAAAGTGCTAAATCGGACACCATTAAAACATTAACATCAAAATCGATTAATATCAAAATCGGTGTAAAGGTTGAAATGTTCTTTTTTAATCTTAAATAAAGCGCATTACGATGGATAAAGTGTAACCATGTGATACATAAATAGGATAAATCTGTTTTCAGTTGGCAATCCTAGCCAATAGGAACTACTGCCAACTGAAATGACAAATTTTATATAGTTGTTCATGTTGAATTTGTACTTTTCTGTTGGCATTCACATCGACAATGAATGCCAGCTGAAAGGAGTTCATGATCATTTTAAAAAATATGTTAATCTCATGTCAGAGAATATACTGATTTATTTGAATTCAGCATTAAGTTCAATTAAGTATATGTATAGTGTGTGTTTTTTAACATAGCAACTATCTTCATGGAAGGGTCAGAGATGACCAACGTAGCAGTTATAACATCAAGAATTCAACAATTAGAACGTGACATCTATAGTTTTGGTAGGGTTTTACAGTGTCGATGTCCTACAGTAGTAAATATCTGACATAAAATAACTTCGCTGAGTTACTAGATTGATGTTATGTTCTAGGTACACAAGACTTTCGTCCTATCCGAATATTCAACCTGCAAATGGAAATATTCTGATTAGTATAGATAATACCAGTCCAAATGGCTTATAGTTGGGTATGTGTAAGAGATATCTGGAATAAATACACAAACGTATATATATATAAAGAGAAAGACATCTGTTTAAATATTTACTATATAAGTCAGCTATGACACACACCGATGGTTTACTCCCTATATAGCTTTTAACACATGTAGTTTTACCTCAGTTGGTCTGCAACGACGAAAATAAATACTTTGGATCAAAGGTAAGAGTGCATAGAAACACAACCAAGATAAATGTGCATGTGTCGGAAATAAATCAGTTTCATAAAACTGTTATACAATGAAATAGTTCAATGGCCATGGACTAAAATGTATTCTTGTTCAATATGTATGATATACATTTTGAACCGGAAGTGCTTCTAAGCTGAGTGGTGACAGTAAAACTATAGATTTCTTCAACTGCAAACATGGCAGAGTGAAATTAATCAGACGCTGCCATTCCAAATTGCTGCATGGTTTTCGTAATAATGTCTGGATAATGTCTGCCTTGTTAATGGTGTATTACGAGATTAACGTCTCACGATGATTGAAAAATCATGTACAATTTATAACACGCACCATATGACGCGTTTATGCCCCGACTTGTAGCATCCCAATCGCACGATATCAGTAATTGAAAGTCTATCCATATTGTCCACACATTCGAACCTGACGGCCTTTGCAAGGGAAGCTTACCGAGGGCACGTGCCACAACATGCATGCTCATAACTTCAGTGTGTCGTGTATACGTGCTCACGATATAAAATGTATGGAAGCCAATATCTGAAATAAACGTCAAATTAATTGAATGCAGTTTTTGGATTTGTTATTCTGGCAATGATGCGATTCCACCAATATCACATTGATTTTGCATTAAACATTATGTTTGGCAACAAGATATTTATTTTAAAAGTGTATGCTTAATTTCGCCGTTCAGTACATGTATATATATGCACAGAGACTATAATTCATGGTATTAATATTCGCTTGGTATTTAATTTCGCGCTATCTTTGGTGATTGCAAATATGGCGAAACTAAATCTCTCGCGAATATTACTAACTACTAGTATGTATATATATGGTATGTTCTGAGTGTTACTTACCTTCAATACCACCCTGGTCTTACTGCTGGCTTAAAGGACGTCGTAATTTTTTTCCCTGATTAGCCAAAGACTTACAACAGACATTAATTGTCAACGTTTAGAAACACCGTATCAACACACAAAGACAGAATAAGCGCTGATTGCCATTATGCACTCCACAGTGTTCGCACACAGGGACAGAATGAGAGCTGATTACCAAAACGCATAGCACAGTCTTAACCTTGAATCAACACGTAATTAAAAAAACCCATTACAGAGTATTTTTATATATATATTAATTTTACGAGTGAGATATATTCGGAAACAAACAACATATGCCAAATGATATTGTCAGAAGTCCTTCATCTAGCAGAAACATTATAAGATGGAAACATTTAATAGCATTTCCTTCTAACCTATAGAGCTACAACAGAAACGAAAAAAATAAATGACGGTAGTTCTAATTTAGAAAAAAACACACAGAATAAGTATCTACATTTATAAAAACCAAAGGCTCTCCAATATGTACATTCCTTGACAGAAGTTACAGAAACAGTTATATTCTTATTCGTCGAATGCAAAATAGTAAAACAGTTATAGACAAATTCAAAACAATAATTGCAAAACAATGAGTATTGACATTATACCAAGAAGGCTAACAAATGATCAATAACTGTACTCTTTAAATATGTTATTTTTATTTTTTAGTATACAAAACTCCACATTTACAAACAAAAGTTAAGGGCATAGTCTTTTCAACAAAGGCTTGGACATGAATCAAACTCGAGTAAACCATAGGAAGTAAAAGAAATTGAGTATGATAAAACTGTGTTAACCTACATGTATGGAAATATAAAAATGAGATTATACCATGACATTCCCTGTCCCTCTTCGTGTCGGTAAAGAAAGTCTTTGTTTAAGAGACTTTCAACCACATAGACGTATTTTAAGTCAAAGTGTAAAAGATAAAAATGTGATAAACAATGTCAAATTATTTGAAGCAGCAAATATTTAAGGAACATTATCAAGTTTATTTTACAAAAGAGTTCAACGTCCAAAGACAGAAACAAACCATCTTGCCGAAAATGTTAATTTTATATAAAATACTTAAATCGTGGATTCTTCAGCTGCATACATAGTGGAGTGAATTCTATCAGAAGCAGTCATTCCAAACTGCTGCATGGTTTTCGTAATAATGTCTGGATCATGTCTGCCTTGTTCATGGTGTATTAAAAGATTAATATTATCACGGTCAAACGTAGAACATTTTCTGAGATGCTCTGCCATGTGATCTGAAAACATTTGTTCTGTCAAACTACCATATATTTCTATAGTGTACCTAATTCCGTTAGGTACCGTGTAACTAACTGCCAGTGTCATGAGTTCGAGTCTGACCGAGTCCCCATCTTTACAGTCACTGCCTAAAATAAGACAGAAGTCGTTGAAGAAATGATCGACATTAATGGCCAACAGACGATACGGTACCCAGTCAGCAATAATTCTTCCTTGAGGAAACAAACTGTCCGTGTCTGTTTTTGATGAAAGTAGTTTCTGCATGTCCGCCTTGTTCAGGATCCTGATTTGTGTATTGGTAACGGTAGGGAGAGAAGGGACGACCTTTGACACTAGTCCTTTGTAGAGCAAGATGGCCTGAAAACAAATATGATTTTTTTTTAACAAAAAATAAAAGGAAACAGAAATGTAGCCTTTTCTTAATTACCTTCAAACATATATCTGATTGATCAATTAATTGTTAAACAAAAAGTTAACATATTGGTGAGTTTTATGGTTGAATGTTGAATAAAGATATGAAAGTTAAGGAAAAACCTAAATTATGAAGGATCTTTAAAAATGTTAACTCTTAAACATGTGTTCGATCATAAGAATTGTTCATAAGCATTATATGTATCTGTTCTACCACATGGAACATATTCCTTCGTGTCCACTTAAGTGCTTATAAAACAATGTGACCTAAATCAATCTATGACTGATCTATAGCATAAAGTTGATTGAAATATTCTTTATTTCTAATAATCTTTACAAAAGAATTTGTTAAAGGTTTTCATAGCATATAACCGACATTTCTTCAATGTATATGAAAAGCAATCCACTAGTCAATTAAGTCATAATTTATTAACGATAATAGTAATTTAGGAGAAAGTCAGATATTAAGTAAATCTTATTTGTTTTAGTCATGGATACCAGTAGTATGACAGTTCATAAGGTTAATTAAATATAAATGGGATATCTGTATCAGGAATGAGATTAATGCTATCAATTTGGTACACTGGAATAGCATATTGCACTTTAATTTCCTCTATAGACTTTTTGACAAGATCTAAATATATTCAAACTCCTGTAGTAAAGAGTTATTGAACTTCCAAAGGCCGTTTCCTTTTTTGAAATCATTAAATTCAAGAGAAATAGTTGGTATCGATTGAACTGATCTATATCCGCGCTCAATAGTGGATTCATATAAACTGGATAATACATTTTCTGATATAAGGAAAAAATCTAGACGTGCTTGTTTACGAGGGTTGCTTTTTCTCCAAGTATATCTTCTAGTTTCTGGGTGTTGTTTCCTATAGATATCTACCATGTTAAATTCCTCAATAAGTTCCTGAAGTTTATCTCTAGATTTAGGATTATTTATTTGTCTGTAATTTTCATCATAGTCTTTTCTTGAATTAAGTACTAAATTAAAATCTCCACATATGAGAAAACACTCATTATTAAATTCATTTATTGTTTCTGCTATTTTATCATAAAAAACTGGGGTATCAATATTTGGACCATATAATGTAATCAGTGTTATCTTTTTGTCTTTTACCTCTCAATCTAATGCAAGAAAATTTCTTGAAAAATCCTTTTTCTCTCTTGTTACTTTCACATCAAAGTTATTATTAAGTAATATGGTTACCCCTCCAGAATTAGACTTGTAAGAATTAAAATAACAGTGAAATCCCCATTCTGCCCTAATCAAATTTTCTGTTTTTTTTGTGAAATGTGTATCTTGAATACAATAGATATTATGATTTTTTGTTCTCAGGTATGGAAATACATCCTTACGCTTATTGATATCACCCAAACCTTGACAATTCAAGGACAATACTCTAGTTCCTTCTACGACCAAGGCTCAAAAAGGAAAAATGACAGTTCATAAGGTAATGAACTTTTGAAAATATTTTGTCACTTGAAATTTTAAATAAATGAATGTCTGAATCATATTCACTTTTCGATTTGAAATGTATCATGTGTGGTCTTGTGCAACGTATTATGTGTGGTCTTGTTATTTGTTTTTAATGCAAACTACAATGGAACATATAAGCTTTCAAAAGCAATACCTTCTGTAGAACGAGGGTGGCCTTCCCCTGCTCCACTTTCTTTAAGAGATTTGTATTGCCGAATGTGTACACTCTGCGTTTGAGCCTTAGATTTCCTGCATTTTCCTGAGAGATGAAGTCTCCCAGGCGATTGACCATCCCTCTACCTTCGTAACCTTTCCGGACACGTAGTGCCCGTGTGAGCATGGTCTCCCCGTCATCAATGAAAGCATCACATCGGAACGCTACCTACAGGCGAAACGTAAACAACCGTGCATCAACATACAGCAATTGCAATTATGAGTTTAACTGCTCGTACAAAACAATCAATAGCAGAATACAAATGTAGAAAGACGTCTTAATACATAACCAGTAATCGTAGCATTATTTACCAGTTCTTTTTTTGTCCTTTTTACGGGTGATAAATGTCTTTTGCTTGTTCCAGCTTCTAGTTTGTTAAAATATCTTCGGTCGACAGTGAAGGAAAGATGGATGTAAACTTTTAATTTTTGGTTTAGAAATAAATTATGAACAATACTTGTATTATTCTTGTTTAAGCTACTCATGAACTATAATACTAAAATTGTTTACAATTATTCACTATTCTTCTTTCTAAAACAAAGTACCTGACAACTGATGACAACTTATACTTGTGACCTCCAAACCGGGTAAAGATCAAATTCGTTTCAACAAATTTGATAGCAAAAAAACCCGCAAACATGTGAAAGCATCCAATGTATCTAGTGGTATTCATTGTCTGTTACGCTTATTTAGTTTACAAACTTCATAGCAAACTGCAACTGGGCTAATACTTGTATTCTTCGCATTAATCGAAATTGAAGTTATTTTCGCATAGAATTATAGAATCAGTTGATCTATTACACCTTGTGTAGGATGTTTCTGATTAGTGCTGACGGATTTGACTCGATACTCACCATAGTTTTATTCACGGTCAATGCATACCCGATGTGATTGGTCATCATTGACCGATACAGTGCTGGTAGATAGTCCATACCATCATATACGTCATCCCGGATAGCCGTGACGTCATCATAGTCCTGAATGCCAACTAGTCGACATTCAATAAGATCCATGTTTTATTAGCAGCTTGTTCAATGGTTTTACCTTTTTTCAGTAAAACCCCAAAACAAACCACCTCAACGTTGTTTTCTGCAATGAAAGTATCATTGATAATACAACATGACGTAAATGTGTGTGAAAATCAAATACTGAAAGAGTTTATCAATTTTCTTTTATTTCAGATTAATATTTTATAAAGTACTCGAAATATTGTAACCCCTGTATATAGTCACCTTTCACGTAACAGGGTGATATAATCTGTTGGAGGTAACAAGTATGAGTTTTCAGGTGAATACGAGGATTTATTAACCCTCGAAGGAGAAATTTCCCTCGGCCTTCGGCCTCGGGAAATATGAATTTCTTTGGTCAATAAATCCTCGTATTCACCTGAAAATAGGTCAATAATTGTATAATATGTACACCTTTGAACAACTATATCAGTAAAGGACACATGTATATGACCATTATCTTTTTGTTCCATAATTTTGTTATCTTTTTGTTACACCATGGTCGCTTATCGCGGTACATGTATTTACAACTGGTCAAGGGCAAAACGTCTAGGGAGTTTTATTATCGTGACTTGGGATAATTATAGACGACGTTCAAAAGCGGATAAAAATAGCTGTCCTACAGATTTTTCTATACAACGTATTTTATACATGAACAGTACGAATGAGATGTTCTCTGACTTTCTGAATTAGTGCACAATAAATATAACATTAATCATCATGTAAAATGTATTTAACTAAAAATCGGTTTTGTCATAATAACTTTAGACAGACATGCACAATGTATATATATATATATATATATATCATATATGTCTTATATATATATATGTATGTGTGATATATATGTTATATCTACCGGACAATGAAAACGTAATACGTTTTAGTATATAAACATTGAGAGTTGATTTTCAACGAAAACAACATGACGTACCTTTTTTGTTTGTTGGTTTATGGAGGTGGACTTTTCCCCACAGTGCAACATTCAAGATGGTGGCCTCCTGTTAAAGGACCGTATTCCTACCGAGACACATGACATTCCTAATAGTCTGCAAATGTTTTACGCTCCGTGAAAGTATCACTTGCATGAGAAGGTTTCGGTTACGTAGAATGAAGTTCCACTTTGATAGCAGGAAAATGCAACACATCCTACACTAATATTCCATATGTTAATCCAAATCATCAGCATATATTCTCACGATTCAATACCTTCAATTTCTTAAGATACAGGAAAATATTTGCTTTTCATATATTTGGTGTTTGATTAGCGAAACAATGTGGCCAGCAATATCAAAATGTACACGGTCTAGCACATTTACATTTACTTTTCATTTATCTATCTTATCGTAATCTGTTTAGTTTACGAAAGGGTCGATCTTTGGAACGTTTGAAAAAATTACCCTCTGTTGTCTAGTTTGATATATTATACCAAAAATATGGTGGTCGGTTAGGGCCAAATAACAAATATCGTGATTTCCCTCCCTCTACCTTAAGGCACAAACGAGAAAACACGACGGAGAGGAAGCAAGGCTAATCTTGCTAAGGGCGAGGGGACGAGACTTACCTCGCTAAGGGCCATATTTGTAATTTTGCCATTACTGGCTACTAAAACCCATTGGTTCTACCCTTCTTTAGGATAATATCAGCCCGCCCATCTACCGATCTCATCAGATCTCTGGGGTGACTTACAGGGTATGCCTTGCGCTTTTAGTGTTCTATATTTAACGTGATGAAACCAGTCATCCGAGGGACCAGTCAGTAAAAGTTACGCAATGTTAAATGTATAAACCCCATTTCTTAATCATAGTTACAAGGAATGCAATTGTACTTAAATTTGTACCGATCAATTGATATCTGGAAATTTTATGATGACTTGTCTGGTTTCGCTTTGCGGTGTCATCGTCTTGAAAACTTCTGTATAAATGTGTACATAGTTTAGGTGTCATTTCATAGCATTCAGGCTTGTTACTTAAGATAGTAACATGTTATAATGCTGGTTAACGTTTTTATGAATACTTTATCCTTAACGCCTAGGGAAAAAACTTAATTCGCTGAGTAAAGTTTTAATAGCTAAGTTCAAGTTCAGCATATCCACCACAAACCATCCAGGGAAGAGAAATAAGACAGTGCGTGTTATCATTTGTGGCAGATTTAAAAAAAAAAAAAAAAAAAAAGATCAGAGAGATATCTCTTAATGCCTAAATTGATGTTGATGCATATATTTTGTTTTACTAGATAAAGAGGGACGCAATGAGCTGGTGGTATTCATGTTGTGTATGCTAATTTGTGTGTACGTAGTATATATTTCTCTAACATCTTGTTCATTTTGTCGTTTTATTGTGAGACAGTATAACGGAGATTTTTCTCTACAAATATGTGTTTAGGGATAGAGGTGGGGCGAAGAACTAAAGCGTTTAATTATTGTAATTGTTTATGATGATCTGTCGATTTGTAAGAAAAGCTGATCTTGTCGAGAATTGTATTATTGACTGCTGTTTACTGTTCGGGTTTTCTATCAATGACATACTAGAGAGGTATAAGTTTATCTTATTTGATAGCATGCATCTATTTCAAGAGTGGGATGTAATGTAACGAAGGTTATTTATCTAGGTATTTAAAAACGAAACTAGGTTAGCACGATAGATAAATGTTTTCGCTAATTTGTAAATTATTACACCATGCAAGAGTTAATTGTATATTACCTTATGTTGCATTTGAGGTGTTCTGAATTTTAATTCGTAGCGTGTTGATCTTTTAATGTACGATTCCCGTGCGTCATGTTGTATAGATTGTATCCCAGTCGGCCATGTTTGTTAACTTTATAATTCAAAGTCAAAATATAATTAAAAAGGAATAATTCGTATCACGTTACCTGACTACACAGGCACGAACAGCCTGCGATAAAACAGTAAGTATGTATGTATCATGTGACCTGAATACACAGGCACGAGCAAACTGATATAAAACAGTAAGTATGTATGTATGTATCACGTGACCTGACTACACAGGCACGAGCAAACTGAGATAAAGGAGTAAGTTTGTATGTATCGTGAACAATAGCTAGGCCATTCAAAGGCAGTCAAACAAGTGTGCGGGCATACATATCTGACTAAATCTAATTCAAAAATAACCGGGAAGATGCATAATTGAGTTTATTCAACCTACGTTTTGAAAATGTATTATTGTTTCATATGCTATCTTACTTATAAGTCATGGCCTCGGTTGCTCAAAGGTTAGTCAACTTTAGTAAGTGAAACATTGTTTCCACTAACACAAGGGTCTTTCAAAGCAAAATCTCCTCAAAATAAATCAATATGTCGTATGTAAAAAAATCTATATTAGCGTTGAAATTATGTCAGGTGTTCCTAATTTTTTGTATTCAAATTATTATCTTTTCCTAACACTTAATTAACTCTAATAAAAATTTGAGCCGCCGGGGCCTGGGTATTTGATTAAAGATATAAACACGAAGAGTTAACAATTTAATTCAAACAATGACATTTTCAATGAAAGCTGTTTCTTCATTCATAATTTCTTTAGACTAACATATACAGGTGAGGTCAAGATCAAACGGATTTTAGTGAATAAATATTGATATACATATCAAAGCAAAAAGGTTCAAATTTTAGACAAAAAATCAACAAACACTAAAAGTCATGTTGATTTTTTTCCCCTTATTATTCATTTTAAATAAAGATATTGACTAGTGAATAATCATGTTTGAATAAGAGGTAGTCATTTTCATATACCTTTTCTAGTGTCTCCTTTTTTTATCCATATAAGATATTTGAAAAGGGAATTTTATTAAATCAGAGATTTCCATGCGTAGTATGTTATCTCAACAAAAACAACAAAAACTGTTTCCTCCACACAATTTTAATATATGGTAATTGAAATGAATTGCTTTACGTCCCCTATAATATGATTGTATCTGGTTAAAACAAAACAATAAATCGTACAAATGATGTAATAAATAGAAAATGTCAGCACATAAAACACAAAAGTGCTAAATCAGACACCATTAAAACATTAACATAAAAATTGATTAATATCAAAATCGGTGTAAAGGTTGAAGTGTTCTTTTTTAATCTTAAATAAAGCGCATTACGATGGATAAAGTGTAACCATGTGATACATAAATAGGATAAATCTATTTTCAGTTGGCAATCCTAGCCAATAGGAACTACTGCCAACTGAAATGACAAATTTTATATAGTTGTTCATATTGAATTTGTACTTTCCTGTTGGCATTCACATCGACAATGAATGCCAGCTGAAAGGAGTTCATGATCATTTTTAAAAATATGTTAATCTCATGTCAGAGAATATATTGATGTATTTGAATTCAGCATTAAGTTCAATTAAGTACATGTATAGTGTATGTTGTTTAACATAGCAACTATCTTCAGGGAAGGGTCAGATATGACCAACGTAGCAGTTATAACATCAAGAATGCTGACGTCAACAATTAGGACTTGACATCTATAGTTTTGTTAGGGTTTTACAGTGTCGATGTCCTACAGTAGTAAATATCTGACATAAAATAATTTCGCTGAGTTACTAGTGTATTGATGTTCTGTTCTAGGCACACAAGACTTTCGTCTTATCCCAATATTCAACCTGCAAATGGAAATATTCTGATTAGTATAGATAATACCAGTCCAAATGGCTTATAGTTGGGTATGTGTAAGAGATATCTGGAATAAATACACAAACGTATATATATAGAGAGAAAGACATCTGTTTAAATATTTACTATATAAGTCAGCTATGACACACACCGATGGTTTACTCCCTATATAACTATTTACCTCAGTTGGTATGCAACGACGAAAATAAATACTTTGGATCAAAGGTAAGAGTACAAAGAAACACAACCAAGATAAATGTGCATGTATCGGAAATAAATCAGTTTCATAAAACTGTTATACAATGATATAGTTCAATGGCCATTGACTAAAATGCATTCTTGTTCAATATGTATGATATAAATTTTGAACCGGAAGTGCTTCTAAGCTGAGTGGTGACAGTAAAACTATGGATTTCTTCAACTGCAAACATGGCCGAGTGAAATTAATCAGACGCTGCCATTCCAAATTGCTGCATGGTTTTCGTAAAAATGTCTGGATCATGTCTGCCTTGTTAATGGTGTATTACGAGATTAACGTCTCACGATGATGGAAAAATCATGTACAATTTATAACACGCACCATATGACGTTTTTATGCCCCGACTTGTAGCATCCCAATCGCACGATTTCTATATCAGTAATTGAAAGTCTATCCATATTGCCGACACATTCAAACCTGACGGCCTTTGAAAGGGAAGCTTACCGAGGGCACGTGCCACAATTTGCATGCGCATAACTTCAATCTGTCGTGTATACGTGCTCACGATATAAAATGTATGGAAGCCAATATCTGAAATAAACGTCAAATTAATTGAATGCAGTTTTTGGAATTGTCATTCTGACAATGATGCGATTCCACCAATATCACATTGGTTTTGCATTAAACATTATGTTTGGCAACAAGATATTTATTTTAAAAGTGTATGCTTAACTTCGCGTTTTTGTACATGTATATATATGCATAGACATTATAATTCATTGTATTAATATTCGCTTGGTATTTAATTTCGCGCTATCTTTGGTGATTGCAAATATGGCGAAACTAAATCTCTCGCGAATATTACTAACTACTAGTATGTATATATGTAGTATGTTCTGAGTGTTACTTACCTTCAATACCACCCTGGTCTTACTGCTGGCTTCAAGGACGTCGCTATTATTTTCCCTGATAAGCCAAAGACTTACAACAGACATTAATTGTCAACGTTTGGAAACACCGTATCAACACACAAAGACAGAATAAGCGCTGATTGCCATTATGCACTCCACTGTGTTCGCACACAGGGACAGAATGAGAACTGATAACCAAAACGCATAGCACAGTCTTAACCTTGAATCAACACGTAATTAAAAAAACATTACAGAGTTTTTTTTATATATATTAATTTTACGAGTGAGATATTTAGAAACAAACAACATATGACAAATTATATTGTCAGAAGTCCTTAATCTAGCAGAAACACTATAAGATGGAAACATTTAATAGCATTTCCTTCTAACCTATAGAGCTACAACAGAAACGAAAAAAATAAATGACGGTAGTTCTAATTTAGAAAAAAACACACAGAATAAGTATCTACATTTATAAAAACCAAAGGCTCTCCAATATGTACATTCCTTGACAAAAGTTACAGAAACAATTATATTCTTATTCGTCGAATGCAAAATAGTAAAACAGTTATAGACAAATTCAAAACAATAATTGCAAAACAATGCAAGAAGATATTTTAGAAACACGAGTATTGACATTATACCAAGAAAGCTAACAAATGATCAATAACTGTACTCTTTAAATATGTTATTTTTATTTTTTAGTAAACAAAACTCCACATTTACAAACAAAAGTTAAGGGCAGAGTCTTTTCAACAAAGGCTTGGACATGAATCAAACTCGAGTAAACCATAGGAAGTAAAAAAAATTGAGTATGATAAAACTGTTTTAACCTACATGCATGGAAATATAAAAATGAGATTATACCATGACATTCCCTGTCCCTCATCGTGTCGGTAAAGATTTTTTTTGTTTAAGAGACTTTCAACCACATAGACGTATTTTAAGTCAAAGTGTAAAAGATAAAAATGTGATAAACAATGTCAAATTATTTGAAGCAGCAAATATTTAGGGAAAAAATTATCAAGTTTATTTTACAAAAGAGTTCAACGTCCAAAGACAGAAACAAACCATCTTGCCGGAAATGTTAATTTTATATAAAATACTTAAATTGTGGATTCTTCAGCTGCATACATAGTGGAGTGAATTCTATCAGAAGCAGTCATTCCAAACTGCTGCATGGTTTTCGTAATAATGTCTGGATCATGTCTGCCTTGTTCATGGTGTATTAAAAGATTAATATTATCACGGTCAAACGTAGAACATTTTCTGAGATGCTCTGCCATGTGATCTGAAAACATTTGTTCTGTCAAACTACCATATATTTCTATAGTGTACCTAATTCCGTTAGGTACCGTGTAACCAACTGCCAGTGTCATGAGGTCGAGTCTGACCGAGTCCCCATCTTTACAGTCGCTGCCTAAAATGAGACAGAAGTCGTTGAAGAAATGATCGACATTAATGGCCAACAGACGATATGGTACCCAGTTAGCAATAATTCTTCCTTGAGGAAACAAACTGTCCGTGTCTGTTTTTGATGACAGTAGCTTTTGCATGTCCGCCTTGTTCAGGATCCTGATTTGTGTATTAGTAACGGTAGGGAGAGAAGGGGCGACCTTTGACACCAATCCTTTGTAGAGCAAGATGGCCTGAAAACAAATATGATATTTTTTTAACAAAAATTAAAAGGAAACACAAATGTAGCCTTTTCTTAATTACCTTCAAACATATATCTGATTGATCAATTAATTGTTGAACAAAAAGTTAACATATTGGTGAGTTTTATGGTGGAATGTTGAATAAAGATATGAAAGTTAATGAAAAACCTAATTTATGAAGGATCTTTAAAAATGTTAACTCTGAAACAGGTGTTCGATCATAAGAATTGTTCATAAGCATTATATGTATCTGTTCTACCACATGGAAAATATTCCTTCGTGTCCACTTAAGTGCTTATAAAACAATGTGACCTAAATCAATCTATGACTGATCTATAGCATAAAGTTGATTGAAATATTCTTTATTTCTAATAATCTTTACAAAAGAATTTGTTAAAAGTTTTCATAGCATATAACCGACATTTCTTCAATGTATATGAAAAGCAATCCACAAGTCAATTAAGTCATAATTTAGTAACGATAATAGTAATTTAGGAGAAAGTCAGATATTAAGTAAATCGTATTTGTTTTAGTCATGGATACCAGTAGTATGACAGTTCATAAGGTTAATTAATTATAACTGGGATATCTGTATCAGGAATGAGATTAATGCTATCAATTTGGTACACTGGAATAGCATATTGCACTTTAATTTCCTCTATAGACTTTTTGACAAGATCTAAATATTCAAATTCCTGTAGTAAAGAGTTATTGAACTTCCAAAGGTCGTTTCCTTTTTTGAAATAATTAAATTTAAGAGAAATAGTTGGTATCGAATGATCTGATCTATATCCGCGCTCAAAAGTGGATTCATATAAACTGGATAATACATTTTCTGATATAGGGAAAAAATCTAGACGTGCTTGTTTACGAGGGTTGCTTTTTCTCCAAGTATATCTTCTAGTTTCTGGGTGTTGTTTCCTATAGATATCTACCATGTTAAATTCCTCAATAAGTTCCTGAAGTTTATCTCTAAAAATTCAAATCTCCACATATTAGAAAACACTCATTATTAAATTCATTTATTGTTTCTGCTATTTTATCATAAAAAAACTGGGGTATCAATATTTGGACCATATAATGTAATCAGTGTTATCTTTTTGCCTTTTACCTCTCAATCTAATGCAAGAAAATTTCTTAAAAAATCCTTTTTCTCTCTTGTTACTTTCACATCAAAGTTATTATTAAGTAATATGGTTACCCCTCCAGAATTAGACTTCTAAGAATTAAAATAACAGTGAAATCCCCATTCTGCCCTTATCAAATTTTCTGGGGTTTTTTCTGTGAAATGTGTATCTTGAATACAATAGATATTATGATTTTTTGTTCTCAGGTATGAAAATACGTCCTTACGCTTATTGATATCACCCAACCCTTGACAATTCAAGGACAACTCTCTAGTTCCTTCTACGACCAAGGCTCAAAAAGGAAAAATGACAGTTCATAAGGTAATGAACTTTCGAAAACATTTTGTCACTTGAAATTTTAAATAAATGAATGTCTGAATCATATTCACTTTTCGATTTGAAATGTATCATGTGTGGTCTTGTGCAATGTATTATGTGTGGCCTTGTTATTTGTTTTTAATGCAAACTACAATGGAACATATAAGCTTTCAAAAGCAATACCTTCTGTAGAACGAGGGTGGCCTTCCCCTGTTCCACTTTCTTTAAGAGATTTGTATTGCCGAATGTGTACACTCTTCGTTTGAGCCTTTGATTTCCTGCAGTTTCCTGAGAGATGAAGTCTCCCAGGCGATTGACCATCCCTCTACCTTCGTAACCTTTCCGGACACGTAGTGCCCGTGTGAGCATGGTCTCCCCGTCATCAATGAAAGCATCACATCGGAACGCTACCTACAGGCGAAACGTAAACAACCGTGCATCAACATACAGCAATTGCAATTATGAGTTTAACTGCTCGTACAAAACAATCAATAGCAGAATACAAATGTAGAAAGACGTCTAAATACATAACCAGTAATCGTAGCATTATTTACCAGTTCTTTTTCTGTCCTTTTTACGGGTGATATATGTCTTTTGCTTGTTCCAGCTTCTAGTTTGTTTAAATATCTTCGGTCGACCGTGAAGAAAAGATGAATGTAAACTTTTAATTTTTGGTTTAGAAATAAATTATGTACAATACTTGAATTATCTGTGGTAAGCTTTGTTGAAATAATTCTTGTTTAAGCTTCTCATAAACTATAATACCAAACTTGTTTACAATTATTCACTATTCTTCTTTCTAAAACAAAATACCAGACAACTGCTGACAACTCATATTTGTGACCTCCAAACCGGGTAAAGATGACATGACACCCTTTATATGCCATAGGTATAATATTTCAGTTGCTAGTATTGTATATTATATATATATCATATAATATTTGCTCGACAACTATGGCTGAAATGAGTTCCAGGTCCTGATTTGTTTTTTTACTTATCAAAGTTAACTTACAAATCAAAAATGGCATTTGCCACCACAACTACTGTAAAATGATTGATTTAATATATGAAGTTTGATTTGCTGGTAATTTTAAGTCTCCTAGCCTCAAGGAAAGTATCTGCTTTAATCGTTAAAGTTAACCGATTTCATTGTTTTATCAAATGCCTATTTCCAATGTGTATCCGCTGATTGTACATAAAAGGCATTTGGGGATAAGCATGTATCTTGTCATATAGTTTAGTTATATGATGATATTTAATTTGTGAAAGTTTCATACTTATCCCACAATGCCTTTCTACTTAAAAACACATTTTCCTGTGATTTAGAGTACAAGGACCAAAGTGCATCTCCTTGCCTAACACCAAATATAACCTGAGAATACTAGTCTATATGAATGTAAGTAGATAAAACAGATCAGTAGAGTATTTATTGTAGTAAGAGGGGCGTTTGACATGCTACACTGACCAAAAGTCAGATACGCTTTGTAGTTTATGCTTTGAAAACGCAAAGAGAGACTAAGTTGTTCGTTCAAGTTAATGCTTGCAATTAACAGTTAATCCTTTTGTTGATTTCATACGGTTTATTTTGTAACATTCCATGCTAACTGCTACTCATATTATTTCTTAATACTTTTTGTTCCATTACGTTAACCATGCCATCGTTGTATGTTGTTAAAAGAGATCACCCATCTGACCTTCGTAACAAGACGAGACTCGTTTGCCTCTTCTGTATTATGTTGCTTCTGCATTTTGCTGAGACAGTAAGGCATTTTGATATTTATACCAAAGTCTTTTACATATTAGTAACGTCACGAAAACCACGGTCAACAATCAATATAGCTTTGCCACGGAATTCGAAGAGTTACGGTTTGAACACGCAACAAGTCACAATGAGTGTAATTTACTTCAGTGGAAACGGTAACTTCGGGCTGGGATGTACTTGTAGGAATATCTTTTAACTCATAAAAGGGTTTTCTACATACATTGAACACAGGGTAACTAGTTTTTATTTAGCTCATAGGACACTTTTTCTTTCAGATAGGTCAAAAGTTGTTCATCATATATTTTTGGAATGTTGGCAGTGTGCCTCTTTTTATAACATACACTGATGGCATGTTTAACGTAATGTAACAAAAAGGGAAGAAAAGTAATTAAGAAAGTATATGAGTAACAGCTAGCATTGAATGAACCAAATAAACTGAATGAAATCTACAAAAGGATTAACTGTTAATAGCAAGCATTAACTTGAACGAACAACTTAATCTCATGTAGCATGTCAAACGCCCCTTTTACTACTATAAATACTCTACTGATACTGTTTAATCTACATACATTCATATAGACTAGAATTGTCAGGTTTTATTTGGTGTTAGGCAAGGAGATGCATTTTGGTCTTTGTACTCTAAATCACAGGAAAATGTGTTTTTAAGTAGAAAGGCATTGTGGGATAAGTATGATTTTTTTTACAAATTAAATATCATCATATAACTAAATTATATGACAAGTTACCTGCTTATCCCCAAATACCTTTTATGTACAATCAGCGGATAAACATTCGAAATAGGCAGAACATTTGATAAAACATTGAAATCTGTTAACTTTAACGATTAAAGCAGATACTTTCCGTGAGGCTAGGAAACTTAAAATTACCAGCAAATCAAACTTCATATATTAAATCAATCATTTTACAGTAGTTGTGGTGGCAAATGCCATTTTTGATTTGTAAGTTAACTTTGATCAGTCAAAAAACAAATCAGGACCTTGAACTCACTTCAGCCATAGGTGTTGAGCAAATATTATATGATATATATAATATACAATACTAGCAATTGATATCTTATATTTATAGCATATGAAGGGTGTCATGCACCTTTTAATTCACTTAAAATTGAGAGATATTTGAAAAAGCAAAGTTTGAGATGTATCCAGAAGCCATAACTCAGTATAAAACAATAGGAAAGTATGTAGTCAATATGCAATTAATGTAAGTCTACTTAAATGAGTGAAGTGGTAAATTTCAAGTCAAAATATTAATAAGAAAGGAAATTATTGAGAAAACAAATTACTTTTCAATTGAAAATGACCGAAAAGACCCCCCTGGCGTAATTCTTCGTTTTTTATAAACAATCTTTAAGTGACGATTGAATTTCAGCCATTTTTCATTCTGTTACTTATGCTTGTCTAATTGATACATGTTTTCAAAAACATAAATGGTATTATTTTGATTTTTAAGCTCATTTTGAAAACAGCAAACTATATTTGTGATTAACCATACCCCTTTTGGTACCCCCAGAAACCCACTTTCGGTCAAAGTTTTTACCTTAGTTTTTCCGCATGTCATACAATAGGACATCTTTGAACAAAATAAGGAGGTTAAAATCTGAATATACCGGGGCCCAAAAAGGGCCTTTGCTAGCAAAAAAACCTGCAAACATGTGAAAGCATCCAATGTATCTAGTGGTATTCATTGTCTGTTACGCTTATTTAGTTTACAAACTTCATAGCAAACTGCAACAGGGCTAATAGTTTTATTCTTCGCATTAATCGAAATTAAAGTTATTTTCACATAGAAGTACAGAATCAATTGATCCATTACACCTTGTGTAGGATGTTTCGTATTAGTACTTGGTGACGGATTTGACTCGATACTCACCATAGTTTTGTTCACGGTCAAGGCATACCCGATGTGATTGGTCATCATGGACCGATACAGTGCTGGTAGAAAGTCCATACCATCATATACGTCATCACGGATAGCCATGACGTCATCATAGTCCTCAATGCCAACTAGTCGACATTCAATAAGATCCATGTTTTAAATTAGCGCTTGTTCAATGGTTTTACCTTTTTTTAGTAAAACCCCAAAACAAACCACCTCAACGTCGTTTTCTGCAATGAACGTATCATTGAGAATACAACATGACGTAAATGTGTGTAAAAATCAAATACTGAATTCATTTAATTTCAGAATAATATTTTATAAAGTATTTGAATCATCGTAACCCCTGTATATAGTCACCTTTCACGTAACAGGGTGATATAATCTGATGTTGGATTATTTAGTCCCGATGTTTGCTGTAACCTTGATGGCCACAGTTATCTGAAGTTTAAATTAGTTATCCTTTAAAATGTTAAGTATGGTCACAGTGAGGACACAGGTATCGGTGGCAACAGCAATTCGTGCATCAAAATTCGTAAAGGGGATGTGTTGGTGGAAATCCCTGTTTGAATATATATTGTGAAATACGTAAAGCGGATGTGTTTGTGAAAACTGGAAACTTCGGCTAAGTGCATTGTACGTGTATATATGACAACGGCTGACTACCGTTTACCACCAGGTATTAAAGCTGGAATTAAAATTACATTTACTATCTTTCATATTTATTTGTTATCGTTTTCTTTGTTTATCTGTTTTTGTGTCTACAAACCCTATTCAACAGATGGGCATTCTGGGTACGTTTGACATGACCCTGTGTGACCTGTTGGATAAGTGGTGATCCATTCATTAGATATCCAACCGCTAGCCGTTGGATGGTATGTATAGGTCACTACTTATCGAACGCCTAGCGGTTGAATAGGTGAAATAGTCAGTTTGTAAACACATTAGGTGACGTAATCGAAAGTTTTTAAACATTTAGAGGTGATTTTTAACGGATACAACATGACGTACCTTGTTTGATTGTTGTTTTTGGAGGCTGACTTTTTCCCACTGCAATATTTTAGATGTGCTTACTACACTACTACTGCTGTTGCTTCACGCTGACTGATATAATCAACACTGTCTAATTCCCTTTCACCATTCCCGACAGTGTATATATGTATATATGTATATATGTATATGTCAGCTTTTAAGTGTCTAGCTATTAAGGTGGCGGGATACCTGTACATAGGCATGAATGTTCTTACGATTACTGGACCGTATCAGTAGTGAGTATGTACGTAAGGGGCTGTAACAAAAGAAAACAAAAGAATCTATTGTTCGATTTCTATAGGCTATTGTTCGAAGACAATACATCAAAGGAATCTATTGTTATCTATTGTTATCGATTTGTAAAGGTATTGTTATCGATTTGTATGGTCTATTGAATTGGTGGCGTACAGGTGTTCCGAGGTCATTGACCTAGAAAATGCGGTCAGTGGGGAAAAACCAAAGCACAGGTGTTCCAAGGTCATTGACCGAGAAGTGCGGGGGAAACCCACATATATGGTGTGAAGAAAAAAATAGGAACTTTGGGGGACTGTATATATATATTGATGATCCAGATCAAGGAAGCCGAAACCTGCAATACCCGATTACATCGGGCGGGGTGATCCGACCAAAGATTAACGGAGGGAATAACACTAAAGAAGAAGAAGATGGTGGCCTCCTGTTAAAGAACCGTATTCCTACCGAGACACCTGACATTCCTAATCTGAAAATTTGTTATGCTCCGTAAAAGTGTCACTCGTACAAGAAGGTTCGGTTACGCAGAATGAAGTTCCACTTTGATAGCAGGAAAATGCGACACATCCTACACAAATTCCATATGTTAATCCAAATCATCAGCATATATTCTCACGATTCAATACCTTCAATTTCTTAAGATACAAGAAAATATTTGCTTTGCATATATCTTGTTTGATAAGCGAAACCATGTGGCCAGCGATATTAAAGTTTTACTGCGTTACGTAGTATAGCAGTTAAGAGTTGTTTGTATGTTTCATTTCCTAAAAGCTATAGGTTTCGGACAGGCGTGAGGCCTGAGAGTAATGAATACTCATAGCGAATTATACAACCGAAAGCGGGAATGCATAGTGATTGAATCGGTGCGTGCAAAGTAAGGTGCATGAGATTTACGTATGGCAGGGCGGATGTATACGTGGTTGGTTCGAATAGGACGAAAGGCATTCTAGCCTGAGACGCCTAATAATACGATCGATTAAAAAAAACACCATTTTCTACAACTTTTGTTTAGTGAAACATATGTGAATATCAGTATTGAACTTGTTTTCATAGATGATGTAGGTCATTACAAGGTTTTCCAGAGCTTTTGTGACTTATTGAGTTTTATCTCTGGTTTTTAACCCTGGATGTCGGGGGAGGTGGTTCCCTGAAATGTAATGAATGTATCATTGTCCAGATGACATGGAGGAGTAAGAATTTGAAATTATTTGTATACAAGTGTCACAAGTGAAATATCATGCATTTCGAATAAACGACTGCTCTATCCTGTAAGAACATGCTACCGGCATATATGTGTTGTTTACATTGATTAGGAGGGGTTATAATCTTGGGTGAATAGGAGAGACCATCATTTCTACAACTTTCGTTTTAGTGAAACATATTTTAATATCAGTATTGAATTTGTTTTCATAGATGATGTAGGACATTACAAGGTTTTCTAGAGCTTTTGTGACTTATTGAGTTTTATCTCTGGTTTTTAACCCTGGATGTCGGGGGAGGTGGTTCTATGTCAATTATGATAATTCACGATAAACACATTTACATAAATTTACACTTAATTTATCAATCTCATCTTGACCGGTTAGTTTACGTATGGGCCGATCTTTGGAATGTTTGAATGTTACCCTCTGCTGTCTAGTTGAAAAAATTATACCAAACAAATGATGGCCGGCGAGGGCAAAAATACAAAATATCGCGATGTCGCTCCCTCGACGTAAAGGTTCAAACGAAAAAACGAGACGGCGATAGAGCGGATCGGCCCGCCCATCTACCGATCTCATCAGAACTCTAGGGTGACTGAAAGTGTATGTCTCGCGTTTTAAGGGTTCTATATTTAATAGGATGAATGCAGGCATACTAGGGACCAGTCAGTCAAAGTTACGAAATGATAAATACATAAACCCTATTTCTTAATCTTGGTCACACGGAACTCAATTGTTCATAAATTTGTACCGATAAAATGTTATCTGGAAAGGTGGGGTCAACATTTGGCCCCCACTTTGAATTCTTTTATTCTCTTGCCATATGTAGATACATAAAAATGATCAATAACTGCATAAATGATTATTCATAATAACTACTGATAACCGTCGTGGACCTTCTTGCATAACACCAGGTTGAGTGACGGGGGTTTCCGAGCAAAATGACAAATGTCACTGGCGAATGTTATTTTGAAAATGAATTACGATAGTGTACAGTGTATAAAATTACTATTATTTTAATACTAAATATGGCATATTGGTATACATGAAGTAAGCGTATTGATACTTTAATTAGAAAAACATGCAAAATTTACACAAAATTTAAAATATAACCAACATTGTCAACTTGCCTATGTATAGTTACAATAGTAGTCTATATTTCAAACTTCTTTAAAAACTTTCCAGATAAATATTCTATCTACAGAATTTTTTTTATGTATTATCAAAAGCGATAAAGTACTTTTTCAGCATGCCAAACATGATCAATGCCCAATTTCACATAACATTGAAGATTTGACTATCAATGTTTATTATGATAAATACCGACACATTTTCTGTTTTTGTATCATACCAAAACACTTCATTATATTACGCATGATTTAAAGTTATGTGCATCAGTAATGACTCATGAATATGTATTCTGCCAAAGTAATCTTTCCTCTGGAGAATTATTATAGGTTGTGATTGTGTTATAGAAAATGATATGCAATAATTTTAAAACAATAAAATAACCTTAATAGCAAAATTATTATACACTTCATTATATCCCTGAAACGAAGTAAGGGGGGTATACTGGAATCAGCCTGTCAGTCTGTCCGTCCGCAGAAAAAAGTTTGTCCGGACAACTCCTTCTAAAGTAATGGACTAATTTCAACAAAAGTTTCCACATATTATAACTACCATCTGAAGGTATTTTTTTCATTCTGAACATTTTGTACGGAGTAATGGCACTTTGTTAAACAATACTTGTCCAGACAACTTCTCCAAAACTACGGGGCCAATTTCAATGGAAGATTACAGATATGGTAACTGCCCCCTGACATTGTGCATCAAAGTAGCATGTTTTCATTCCTACTCTTTAAAAAGGAGTTATGGTTCTTTGTCGTAAAAAAACCTGTGTCTGCTTCATAAACCACCGGGCCGATTTCAATGAAAGTTTACAGATATGGTAATTACCTCCTGATGTCGTGCATCAGGGTAGTATTTTTTCATTTCGACCCTTTTTAAGGAGTTCTGGCCTTTTGTTAAAAATCTTTGTCTTGACAACTCTTCCTTAACTAATAGGACGATTTCAGCAAAACTCGTTCATCTAGGCTAACAGGATTTGGTATGCAAGGTAAGTCAGTGACCTATATGCTTAAATAATTACTGGTGTGAGACTATGGACTGCTTTGCAATGCTTTGTCTTAGTTAGCCTTTAGCTTACAGCTCTGGTTTATACAGGAGCGGGTGGTATAAGTAAGCCTTTGGCTTACAGTTGTAATTATTATTTTATTTTGCCCATTCATTAAACAAAATATGAAAGAATGTTATTTTATATCGTTAACGCTAAACAAATAAAACAAGGAAAGATACCCTTGTCTGACTCCCGATACAAAGCTTTTATTTTAGCACATATGATTTTTGTGACCTTGAACGAAGGTTAAGGTCATCAACATTTACAAAACTTAAATCCATTCACATGAACAACGTACTGGTCAAATATCAAGACCCAAGGACCTTTCGTCATGACGAAACACAAGTTAAAGGAAAAGTGGAAGGAAAGCTATGTTTTTCTATTTTTGAATCAAAAGTGTTATATAACAAATTTACTGGTTGTCATTTCTTTTAGAAATTCCTGATGTTGAAAGATATTATTAATAGCCAACTTTTAAACAAGTATGTAAA